AATGATTTTTAAGTTCTTTAGTCAAAAGGATTTTTTCGATTCACCCTAAAAAATGTTTTTATATATTCTACAAAATTTATTGGTACACAAATTTCAGCATTCTAAGAGTCTTCCTCGTAACTTCATCCACAAGATTTATGTATGTAGCGCAACAAAGTTATTTTAAATTATAAAAGGAGAATTAAAATATTTTATGCAAAACAGCATATTTTAGCTTATATGTAGATCTAACATTCTGCTTCGATTCCCGTGCAAAGCTAATAATTTTAGTTGCTATTAATTTTCTTTACAACACCTCACGTGCTCTTTCTTTGATATATCAATGGTATTTAAAAAATTACGTTATGGAAAATATATGAGAGTATACTCTCATATATTTTAAAATGGTTATGGTTTTAAAATACTAATATAATACGATTTTAAGTTCAAAAAATTTCAATCCTAAAACCAGCTCAATATATCATCCTCGCATATTTATAAAGTTTCGATTGTTAGGAAATAGTAATTTTCTATCTATCTATCTATAGTAATCTATCAGAATCGGATTACCGAGTACTTCCTAAAATTACCGCTTGGTAATTTCCAATGGAGTGAAATATTTACGACATGTTCTTACATATGAAATTTTTGAAGTGAATACTTCTATAGGCAGGATGGGGAGTAAATTCATGTAAATCGTCATCGACATGGTCACGTGACGCGTTAACGCTAACACTCAGAGTACCGATAAATGTCAAAACCAGATAAATGTAAACCGTTTTAATTTACAAATATTAATTTAAGATTAAACAATTAATTTGAATATTCAAAAATAACAGCTTTTTGTTTATAGTTTAAAGTTTTCACTTCTCTCGGCAGTACTCATTACTGCCTTTTTTTTGGATGTAAGAAGTAATTGTATATATATATATATATATATATATATATATATATATATACACACACATTGGTAAGAACATACAATTTTAATTTTGTATTTCCTTTAAAAAAATTAATTTAGTTTTTTTTTAATTTGTGTCATCTTGTTTCCTTTGGCGTGGTAATATAAAACTGTTAATACACTGTTAGTAATAAACATTTTACAAAAGCTGACTACATCGAAACTATATTATACTAGCAAAACCCGCGGTTTCGCTCGCGCTAAAACTACAAAAAAAAACTCTAAAAAGGTAGTTTCATACAAACTTTCATGCTCTATTTAACCCCTTTTTAGGATGAATTTCGAAAAATGCTAAGAAACGTATTTGTTTAATTTTATTGACAAGCATTAATACAAGTTTCAAGTAATTCTATTATAAATATTTTTTTTGGATAGTATTATAACGTGTTTTCCCGTGGGTTTTAGGTAATCTCCCGCAGTAAGTAGCCTATGTCGATCTCCAGCCCTCCAACTATGTACACACAAAAAATCACGCCAATCCGTCATTCCGTTTTGACGTGAGAGAAGGACAAACAAATAAACAAACAAACACACTTTCAGATTTATAATATTAGTATGAATTTGTAAAGAAACGTCGACATTTTTGTATCAAGAGGCACTTAGGAAGACACCCGAGCAAATTGACAACATGTTACCAGTAACAGAATAAAGCTTATGAAAGATCACATCTGTATTTTCCACACTTGCTATTTTAAATGTCGCTATCTTTTTATCTACAACAGTTATCCGATTGTCCACTCTAGCATGACAAGTGCAAAATAATCGAATAAAATACTCAAAAAAAACCTGTCCCTTTTGTTTCTAACTCCACTCTGAATAAGTTAGCTTCGAAAATATTCACAGTGCCTACGAATATATTTAAATAACAAAAACAACCTTTTTAAATCTATTTGGGAACGATGAATTGGTTTTATCGAAATTGTTTCATTCTGGCTCAAGTAAAAGTATCAAGTATCAAGTTAGTTTGATTATCAAAATAGAAGAATTAAATATTTTAAATAAAGCTATTTTTTCGGTTCTCTTCGCTGTGTTATTTTGTTTTTTATTACCAGTAAACTAAGATTTTGTACTAATATTATAAAGAGGCAGAGTTTGTTTGTTTGTTTATTTGTTTGTTTGTTTGAACGCGCTCATCTTAGGAACTACTACCGATTTGAAAAATTATTTTTACTTTATATAACCCGTTTATTTAGGCAGGCTAATATCATAAAATATACTTATAGTACTATATTCAGCCCTTTTTAAAGTCGCACTGCTGGGCACGGGCCTCCCTTCAATACGAGGGGGATCAAGCCATAGCCCACCACGCTGGACAAGTGCGGGTTGGCGGACATCACATGTCTTTCGAAAACTTGCTAGGTTTTCTCAGACATGCAGGTTTCCTTACGATGTTTTCCTTCACCGTTAAGACAAGTGGTAATCATGTTAGAAATGATTCGCACATGAAAATATAATAGGTGCGAGACCCGGGATTTGAACTCGCTTCACACGGCTTCCCAAGCAAGCGCGTTAACACTGGGCTACCACTACCTTAGTATATCTATTTCATACTAGCCGCTAAAATATACCTAGGAATGAACCCGAGCTAAGCGAGGGTGAGTCGCTAGTTAACTATATATCTTTATTATCTATTAAATAGCTTATGAAACTTAATTTAGGAAAACCTTTTCCTTCACCATAAAAATACGATATGACACTTTAATGGTCTATTTACTAAAGCAATTATGGTTTAATTAACATTTTATTATCTATATATAAATAAAAATAAATGTTCGTATGTTTGTCCTTTATGCGTTTCGAAACCCCGAGTGTTTCCTCATGGACTGACTACACAGACATTTAATTTAATATTAAAATGTAAAATTGACGTCTATTTGAATAAAGTATATTTTGATTTGAATTTGATTTAAAACCATTGATTCGATTATGATGAAACTCTGGTAGGTCTGGTAAAAAACCTTTTTTTGAAACCAGAACTTTCGCGTATACAGAATAACCTACCAAAAAATGTTTTTTTCTTAGGAATTTGTCTTTTATGCGTTTCTAAACAATTCTAGTTTTATTCATGCGTTGGAAGAAAGCAAATTGCATGTAATAGATAATTTTAAAAGGGATGGAGGGTATAGATACGATCAAATTGTGATGGGAATAATTTATCCGAAGTACTTTATAATGCATGCATGCACTTAGCTTATAACAGCATTAAAACATTTTAGTACAAGTGAAATACTCTAACTTCCGATCCCCATAACTCGTTACCATCCTATCCTATTAGGATGGATGGATGTTTGTTACTCTTTCATACAAAAACGTCTAAGCAGATTTTGATGAAACTACTGTAACTGCTACTACTACAGAAATAGCTTAAACATCAGAGTATGTGTTACTGTACCCTACAATTTTTAAAGATATAATAATACATAATTAAACAACACGTGCGGAGCAGTGAGAAAACGCTAGTATGTATATAATAATTTGACAAGAGTCAAAGTTCTTACTAGTTTGTTTTTATACGAGTAGAACGTTTTGAATATAAATACATATGTAATAACAAACCGAATGAACAATTTTCAGCATTTAGAATATCATTATCCAAATTCAGGCGAATTTAGTCGAAATTTTGACTTAATATCGGCTATATATACCAGATATTAGCAAAACGGTTTGCAGGAAACATGCATAAAATTTGCATAATGCCTCATTATAATAACATGATATGTCTACATCGGAACGCGCGCACCTGTTCCCAAACTTTGTGGGTGAATTTCTCTTAATTTAATTTTAAAAGCAGATTTTTATTTGTTTAAGCAATATACCGCACTATATTAACTTATTTTCTCACTTCTGAAGGGTTTCTGGAAGAAATCTCTTAAAGAGATAAGTTATCCTTTGTCAACATTTTGTTATTTTATTTTGTATAACATATATTTTATGGTACATAAATAAATAAAAGTAAATCATAATGGGCCTAATATCATAAGTGTGAAATATGTGTAGTGTTATTAATGATTTTAAAAAGTAAAAATTCAAGCTTCAGCAATCCTGTTTATTTAATTACTTCTAGAGAATGCCCTACAAAATCATAATCACAACTATTTTAACACTATGTCTCCACCGTTGCGTGTAATGTGGCGCCACCTATCTTATACAGATTACTCATTACCCCACGGTGGATGACAATACTTTAAAAATTGATAAAATTTAAAAACTTTCAACCTAGTACATAAGCAATATTTGCACATAATCCAAACAATTTAAAACAATAAATCAAGTAAATTCCGGTTGCCAAACTAAGCTGAAATATTTCAAACTTACGTCAGGTATACTTATGTGATTTATTAGAAGGCTGTTAGGAGTTTTGTTCGCATTCGTTTATTTTACTAAATTCCATAAAAAAGACTTTTTTTGTAGGTTTACATATTATTATAGTATGCTTATCTTACAATACACATACTCATATACACATAATATGAAGTCCGCCACCCGCACTTGACCAGCGTGGTGGACTATGGCTAGGTCCCCCTCGCACTGAAGAGAGACCCGTGCAATAAAAAAATTATCACAATTAACATTTTTTCTAATTTAAGAATAGTTTTATTCCAATCGATACCTTGAATGTCATATATGTGCTATATAACTAAGAGGTCACGTTTGCAAGTGGCGTTTAAATAAAATACCTTCACACAAAAGCTGATGCATACAACACAATAGATACTGAAACACTTCAAAATGTATGAAAAAGTAACAACTCTAAGCTGAAAAAATGAAAGAATTTCAGAAAAATTATTGTTCTTATCCGTAAATACGAGAGTGATTATTTTATGCTATGATTTTTCTATGAAGAGACAGAGTTTTTGCTTCAACATTTTTAACACGCTTTTATTTGCTTCTCTTGGAATTAACTGACTGAAGGAATAAATAAATAAATATGTTGGGACATTAACACACAGCACCATCTAGTTTCATGGTAAGCTACGAGGCTTGTGTTATAGATACCAGATACTTGATACACTACATATATATAACTTTAAATACACACATATTATAAATATAAACACCTATGACTAGTGTACAAAAATTCGTGCTCATCACACAAATGAAATCTCCCAGCAGGACTCGAACCCGCGACCGCTGGCACAGCAAGTACGATCACTACAACTGAGCCAAACGTCAAACTAGGAAACGTAGGAATGACTGACTGGTTATATTTACTAATTAAATAATAAATATCTATGTACTTAATCTAATTTTGAAAATCGATTTTGACACAATTTTATTTATTATCCATGCAATATGAACTGAACTTTTAAAATAATACTTTGTTTTAATAATTTTTAAAAGTATAATTATTGTAACCATCGCTATGTTAATTAATATTCTAAGACATTTTAGAAAGGTTTATCGCTGGTATAGGTCAGAGAAAAAACAAAATATAGCGAAAATTGCCTCTTAAACAGGTCAAATCTTCCAAAAATACAAAATTTTATTTACTAAATGCATATGTATTTAAAGAATATGTCACAAAATGTATAATCAATTGTTTACGTTTGTTACAGAAATCGTATTGAAAGAACAGCCTCAAAACGATGGAGAGGATCCGTGCGTCGCTTAATAGCAGCAACAGTCTGTGAGTGAATAATTTTCTCATATACTCGAAACTTATTTATTTAAACTACCGACCAAAAGATAATTACCGACCAATAATACAAATATCAGTATAAGTTTTTTTGTAATTGACGAACTCTAAAACGAATGAACCGATTTCAATAATTCTTTTACCGTCCTATATTTATTAGATAACATAGTAAACATATTATATGAGTAGAATCTTCGTATCTATGTAAAAAAACTGTTTCCAACATTTTTTTGAAGTTCCACGCTTCTTCTGGTATGTTTGGAAAAAATATGAGAATTTAATTTTTATAATGCGCGTGCACACTGACAGCCAAAAAGCGACATGATAAAGTTAGCTGAAAGCAACATGATAAAGTTAGCTGCATTTCCATTAAAACAGAGAGTTGTGATATACGGGATAAAATCATTAGCTATTTTTGTTCTGTTACGCCAAAAAAGTATAACTTCTTACGTGCGTACATAAGTACACATACACGTTTTTTTGCTGTCTGTGAGCTCTATGTGAAAGTTTTACTAAAAATCATTGGCTTATTAACAAATTTTAGTAAACTGTCACTTAATACTTTAAGCTTTCGTTTATTTTAATAAAAGAAGCCAAACTAGACTTCCAAAAGTCTCTATAGAATGCTTGCGTGGGGACACAGGTCCAACATGTAAAGACCTTGTAGGGATTTATATATATATATATATATATATATATATATATATATATATATACATATATATATGTGTTAAATCTAATTGAGTACTCTATAGGGAATTACCAAGAAATTATTACCTACCATTAAGTAAGAATTATATTACAAAGAATAAGATTGTAAATTATCATTTTTTATATATATAATTATTATATACTAGCGACTTTCCCTCGTTTCGTCCGGGTGTTATAAGTACGTTTAAATAGATAAAAATTGTTGTTGCGAGTGTACCTTATTAGATAGATATGCTGTTGCAGACTATTTTTAGGCCCTTTTAAGACCTACAACTTTCTATTACATTGTTTCGATGTGTTTCTTAAGGCTTACCCAGCGTTAGCCATGTAAATTGCCAAGGACGCCTCGATAGAACCAAGAAAGGAACGAAATATTTTCTCGTAGTAAAAGGTATCCCAAATGTTAACCCAAGTAAGAAGGTATTACAAAAACTTAGTTAAAATCGATACAGTACTTTTTACGTTAAATGCAAACAGACGTACAAACAAACAGATAAAAAACTTAAATAACTATTGTTTCGGGGACTATATTCTGTACACAACACGTAACAGTGATTGTTTAAAAAAAAATATTTCATGTACATACAGATTTCGCTTTGTTACTATTTTTAACGGACTTCCAAAAAGTAGGAGGTTCTCAATTCGTCGGAATCTTTTTTTTTTATATGTCGGAGACGGTCATCAATACGGTCGCTAAACGAAGCGCGGCACGACGCCTGAGTGATGGCAGCACCTTCGGTATTATCGCCAACACTCTGCGAGCTTCGTGCTACGACGGAGCCTAGCTAAGGGAGGGGTGCTAAGAGGGCTGGACACTTGCCTTCGAGCCGAGCCAAGCTTAGGACCGCTCCACTAGGAACTGTCTTGCGTTCCGTATTGTCTATACATGGTAATAGTGAAGTGGTATATGGCTGTGTAGTGAAGTGCTGTTTAACTATGTACGAAGTGATTATTGTTAATTTGAAATACAACTGTGATTGCATCGACTTTCATTTGAACCAACACTTCCCATATAACGCCCACTGTATAATTCATGATAAAATAATGGAAAATAATAGAGAAAATTAATGCTGCTTCGATATCAGAAGCGGGATCAGTGTTGGTTCAATTGCAAAAAGAACTATCTCTGAGTGAACAATGACGTGCTATGTTTCAACAACAAAATGTCATTATGTGATCTCTTATCGAGGCCATGCAAATGCCTCGGATGAAGAAGAACATCAAGTTACGCGAGTTTGACCCTGACAATATGGATACGGACGCAAGATCTTGATTTGCGACTGTAGATTTGTGTTTTGCCGAATACCCTCCATACGGCGGCTAACTTATTTTAACAGTCAGTAAGGAATTAAAAGGATAAGGGTCGACGTGGCTGTCACAATTTGTATACCAGAGAATAACATAGGAAGAGTTCAAGGTGATTTTCAAGGCGAGATTTATTTCCACCGAGACATTGGCTGGTACGCTAATTAATTTTAACAGTGACAAACCAAATGAAAAAAGAAACTCGTTACGTACGCAAATCGCCTGATGACGTCACTGACTAATCGTTGGAAAGACGCTAGCAAGAAGCAGATAGCAATTGCGACTGTCCTTGCTCACTTATGTCAGTTTAATTCGAAATTACAACGATTGGCCTTTACTACGAAAATTGCTTCGCGAGATCGACTGCTGCAGGGATTGCACGCATTCTCACATTTGAAACGCAAAAAAAGTGAGTCTTAAGCGGTCAAAGTGTAGAAGCAAGGTAAATGACAGTGTGGAACGACCTTCGATGACAGCAACGGCATTGCAGCCTGCAGTGAAGTCTCTGGTGTGCTTCAAATGTGGCAAGCCTGGTCACATCGCGCTCCGGTGCATAAGTACTGCCAGTCAAGTGGACGGCAGCAATATGGGTGCAACACGAACGGAACGACGCGTGGATGTATGTGTTGTACAACCATCTTCGAATGTTCAATGGCATAGAGGTAATCTGTATTGCTTTTGTTATAATCATGGTGCTGAATATTCGTTAGTAAGATAACATTTAGCAGTCAAATTGTGTGGTTAACGATTTTGTCCTTGCAATTTCTAGTATTGATCAAAACGGAATATTCCGCACAGAGTAAAATTTGTTTTGTAACGATTAACGGTCATTCTCTTGAAATCTTTTGAAATATTATGTTTTGCCTAGTTATTAGTTACAAAATGGTATTATGATAGAACATGAGATATTGAAAGGTTTTCTATTAACATGACGGCTATAAATTCTTTACACAAAAATTCTAGTAGGTCATGTACCAATAGAGGTTGATGTAAATAATGATCATCATGCCAAGCAAATGTTTTAATGAAGTCGATGGAAACCGATGTAAGCATTCTGACGGCCGTAGTAGTGTCGACCGTACTAGTAACTATTACGTAGTCATAGCCTGGTAAAAGTCGGTCTTTTGAGGAAGCTCAAACTATATAGACCGTGGGTGTGTGATGTGCGTTTAGTTCTGGCGGAGGTCGGGGTCTGTTATGACCATAGTGTGTAGTCATCGAGAGGATGATACACACGGTGATCCCGTAGTGGATGCACCTGGATTGTGGAGCAATTGTGATTGCTGGTTGGCTTGTAAAGCCGTGGCCTAAGAGTGGTTTACAGAGGTGCTAGTAAATTTGAAAATTAGTTTGATTGCTAAAGTGTTGAATGATGTTGGTACATGGCTCTGGATGACTAATGTTATTAGTTAGATTAGAGATAGTTACAGTGACTTGGAGTTTAAAAAAAAAAAAAAACAAAGGTGTTAGCGTTAAAGCTTTTCGTTAGAATAAAGATGATTCAGATTCAAAGTTAAGTTTTATCTGGTCAGGATTGACCGAGTCGAGCAAGTATTTTCGTTGATTATTTTGTTGCAGGCTAACACACGGCTAACACACGAGGGCGTGTGCACGCAGGATGGCCGTGTCGGAGACGGTCATCAATACGGTCGCTAAACGAAGCGCGGCACGACGCCTAAGTGATGGCAGCACCTTCGGTATTATCGCCAACACTCTGCGAGCTTCGTGCTACGACGGAGCCTAGCTAAGGGAGGGGTGCTAAGAGGGCTGGACACTTGCCTTCGAGCCGAGCCAAGCTTAGGACCGCTCCACTAGGAACTGTTTTGCGTTCCGTATTGTCTATACATGGTAATAGTGAAGTGGTATATGGCTGTGTAGTGAAGTGCTGTTTAACTATGTACGAAGTGATTATTGTTAATTTGAAATACAACTGTGATTGCATCGACTTTCATTTGAACCAACACTTCCCATATAACGCCCACTGTATAATTCATGATAAAATAATGGAAAATAATAGAGAAAATTAATGCTGCTTCGATATATATATGTTTACCGATTACTCGAAGGCACCTGAACCGATTTGCAAAATTCTTTTTTACTTTCAAAGGGTATACTTCCCAGGTGGTCGGTGCCAGCCGATATTTTAAGATATGAATATCTAATAGGTAAATATGTATTTTACGTATCGAAATATATTAGATTTGCTTTACATCGGCTGGCACCGACTTCGAAAATATCTGATTAGGTATCTATTCTAAATGAAAACCCCCGTTTAGTTATTTTTTAATTGTAGTGCCTGGAAGCCGGTTTTTTTTTTAAGTTTTTATATTATATATGTAGATATTAAAAGTTGTCCATACAAAATTTAAAATATAAGGAAATATTTATTACCTACATGTAACTATCATTATTAGAGTTGTGCTGTTTGAATATAACTTCATTCCCAGCGGCCAAACTCGCAATAGCCCTGCATTCATAGCAAGTCTAATCAACTGTAAAGTCGATTTGCAGTGTTTTCATTTACGTCACGATATACCTATCGCTTTGAATTGAAAAGTTATCAATGCTAGCTATTTTCAAACTACTATTATAAAAGCAAAAGTATATATGTATACATATAATAAAAGTGTAACCAAGCCGAATCTGTACATTAAATATTTTTTGGAAAATCTTATTGAAATAAACATTATTATCGATACAGGGGCCAAATCTATAGTTTTTAGAATTTTTATCTGTCTGTCTGTCTGTCTGTCTGTTACCGCATCACAGAAAACCACTAGAGGGATTTTGATGAAATTTGGTATGGATGATAGCTGGTTATCCGGGTCAATATATAGGATACTTTTTATTCCGGGAAAATACCTTATCTCTGAGAACTCTATCCTAATCGCTAAAAAGTAACGACCTAAACGTGGTTTTATGTGCATAAACGTACATAAAACCAAAAAACATGCACCAACGATACATTAACTGAATATTCATCAACTGTCAGAAATACGGTCCAGCAAACGAATGAAACTTTAAAGTATACTTCGGGATCATTCTGAGTAGGTGTAATGCCTGGTCTACACGCTTGCTAAGCCTCGACAAGCGATTACAAATTCAAGCATGTAGAGTGCTTGTGATGCATCCACATTTGCGCTTTTGTAGAGACTTTAAGTTGGCATCAAATGGCAAGCGTGTGGGATAAGATCATTGTAACTATACATTACAAATACGTTTTTATGAAAAATGTATTAAAGTAATGTGAGCATCTCACCATTTTCTATGTTTTTAAACGTATACTGTAAAAAAGGTGTGTACTAATGCTATCTATATAGGTATAGCACAATCTAAATTACTTTAGTAGGAATACCAAATAGTTTGTAATTTTTCTGCATTCCACAATACCGTGACTCTTCATATATGAGCTAAAATTCAACAAAGGTTTTATACGAAAAAAGGTGGATAATGAAAATTCTTAAAAGACAATAAGATTCAAAAATTTCAACGTAAACTCGACCCAATTTTTCTCGCAATTATCTGTAACAAGCTGTCTACGTCAAGCTTTTTGCTCATTGCCATGACGCTAACTTTCAAATTAAAAACCATTTGATGGCAACAAATAAAGCTCAAGACGTGATTAATTACGTAATTATAAATATACATAAATAATTATGCAATATGAATAGTTTCTAATGATTTCATTTATGTTGTTGTATTTCATTTGTATTTATATTATATTACTAGCGACTTTCTCTAAATTTAAATATTAGTATAGATTTCTCAGAGATGATATATTTTCACGCAGTAAAAAGAATCCTATATGCTGACCCGGATAATCAGCTATCATCATACCAAATTTCATCAAAATCTATCCAGTGGTTTTCTCGTGATGCGTTCCCGGACAGGTAGACAAATAAAAAAACAAATCGCTAGTAATTAATAAATAGCGTACCGAGCAGGCTTTTTAAGTATCTACTTAGGTACGAAACCCTTGAGAAAATCTAAAAACATTATATTACACAATCGTTATCTTCGTCCTAATCTTTCAAGGTCAAGAGCATATCTGATCTTACTCAGTGTAAGGTTAAAAAATAATCGCAGGTCAAATTATAACGCCCAATATGGATTTTGCTGTTTTACTCTGTCCTGTAAAATATTAATGTTTAGTAATTATTCTTAAAGGCACCTATAGTTTATTTGCTAGTTTTCATAGCTTGGTATTTAAATGATCGAAAATTACGTTTCTGCTGTCTGTTCGTCCGTATTATTATCTATACTAGTATTATAAATGTGAAAGTTTAGATGTTTGTTACTCAATCACGTCATAACGGCTGAACGGATTTGGATGAAATTTGGCACAGATATAGTCATAGATTATAGTCTAGAATAGCACATAATTTTTATCCCGGAAATTGTACGGTTCCCGTGGGATGGATTTGTTTTTGTTTTTCTTACTTTAGAGTCGAAGCACTAATAATACTAATCTAATATTTAAAAATTGCCAAGTGCGAATTGCGCAAAGGGTTTACGTGACTAAAAGGTAAAAACCTTTCTTATTGATCTAGTCACTAATTTCATGAAGTGCTCTAGAGATCCTAAGTTAAAATAATTTTTTATTGAATTTTTTCAGTTCAAACTTAAAAGGCGATATTGCCCTCTTGTATAGAGAGTCAGAGAGTGGATATAGCCGTAGGACCTAAATAAAATTATTCTAAAGGCGATTCTTAATATTATATAAATACAAAAGATTAAACTTTTTAAATGTTTCTAGACCGGAGATCGTGGATTCGAGTCCCGTTAAGCACAACAATTATGGAAATAATACTGCATTTATCATTTTTAAACTACCAACATTTGAGGCCTATATGAGTGTACTAATGTAAAACAGTAGTAATTCCCTCCGCGACCGCCGACACCCTGGCGTGTCAGTTAACAATAGATTTCTTAGAATTTTAATTAATTTCTTAGAAATTTACTTGGAGTTGTTAATAGATCTGTTGCGCCAATGCCAATCCGCACTTGGCCAGCGGGCTGGTCCCTCTCGTATGGAAAGAAGGCCCATGCTCAGCAATGGGATGTTAAAAAGGGCTGAATACAAAACTTAATAAAACACTAATTTTTTTTCAGACAATCTTTCCTGTTTCACACATGGTTGTAGTACGGGGTGGGTGTCTGGAGTTCTGGGCAATGAAGCTCTCACAGGTGGCGCATGGCTGGCAGCTCTACCATGCCTGGTAGCACTCCCCGCCGCCCCCATGTTTGCTGTTTTAGCTGATGTTAAAGGAAGAAAAGCTGGAGCATTGTGCATTTGCCTTAGTTTTATTGTAAGTTAGTTTAATCTAGTCGTTGTAATCGTCAGGTAAAATTTATTTATAGAACACTAATGAGTTTTAGCCTAAAAAAATAAACTGATTATAAGGAAAATTAAAATAATATATTCTAAAATCATTTTTTTGTAATTTTACTGTTGATTGAAAAATTCGTCGTAAGCTTGCACTGCGTAATCATAGATGACGCTGTTTAAATTTTATGAATTGTTTACCACAATTAAATAAGATAGAAATCATTCCAATTAGTTCCATGAAATTCAAAATGAATTTTATATATTATTTAATATATTTTAGTACATAGGTACTGTATACTTATTCAGAAGTAAAATAGTACTACTCGACGGTTTTTAACGGTAATCCGTTGATACGCCATCTATCGTCTACATAAGAAAACTAAAATAAAATAGACTAAACCATAAAACGCCCAATTTCTTTAAAATTATAAGTATGTGTAAAAAACAAGGCTGTTCTCTTTAATTTCTTCTTTAGATGATTTTAAATAACGCTACCTATTCGGATTTTTCACGGAATTATTTTGATTCTTGGTTCCCGACGTTTCGAATGCTTTAAAGAAATCATGGTCACAGGAGATACTAAGGTTTTATTTAAAATGTCAAATATTTGCGTAAATCTAAGACTTCATATTATTTCTTCAGATCAGCTGGTCTCTAGCTGCATGGTGCGGGGCGCGCGGTGTTTGGGCGGCGAGAGTTGCGGCGGGGGCGGGCGGGGCAGGCGCGTTGGCTCTAGCGCCACTATACTGTGCAGAGATTGCTCCTCGAACTAGGGGACTTGCTGCTATGCCGGCTTTGGCTTCTAGGTAAGATGAGGTTGTTAGCAAGTAGAAATAAATAGAATATTGTATTAGAGATGTATGTATATAATAAATAAGGGATTGAATGCATCATTATAATAATACTTTTAATTGAAATTAGGTACAAAAATTAAAAAAAGAAGCCTTATGTTATTATCATAACTGAGAGTACTTTAAATGTTATGTACATAATTATAAAATTACATGTAGATAATCTAAATAACATAATTAATTACGGGTACTTGGGTTATGTTGAAACCCAAAAAGAGAAGGCAGTCCTTGAGAATCACCTTCACAAACCAAACCAATCAGTCGCTACAATAATTTAAATAGACGCAACCATTGATTAATGGTCGAGAAAGGTCACTTACCGACTAAACACAATATCTCAAAAACGCTCGTGTATTTTTTGAAGTGATTTGAAACTCGATGAAACGGAAATGCGACACTAAAAATAGTTAAACACATAAACATATAGGATTGAGGATAGGGGATGAAAGTTTGTAAGAAACTACCTTTTTAGAGATTTTTTGTAGGTTTAGCGCGAGCGAAGCCGCGGATTCTGCTAGTTATGTAATATTGAGTGTAACTTTTATTTCAGTTGCGGCATCTTATTCGCTTATTCTGCGGGCGGTATGCTATCAGCACACGCGTTATCGTTATCAATGGCTATCCCACCAGTTGTGTTACTGTTCTCTCTGATCTGGCTACCGGAAACACCCTCGTTTTTAATAAGTGTAGGAAAAATACAGGTACTTTAATTTCCGTTTGTAATTTTGTATGTATTTTACAATAAATTCAGATAGATTTGATTTTTAATAGAAATTATGAGTTATTATTAAATATGAAATTTCTTCCCTTAACCAGACTTATAGGGACAGAATATGTATACTTTATACTTTGACTATCTCGGTGGTGTAGTGGCAAGCACGTACGGCTGCATAACTCTCACCGGTCGTGTCGAGCAGTCGTCCCACCGGAGTATGAGAGTGACAGGAATAGAGAGTGCACTTGTGTCTGCGCGTACACTTGTGCACTATAATATCTCCTGCGCAGTTGGCTAGTCTCAATGAGATTGGCCGCCGTAGCCGGAATCGGCTAGGAGAACATCATATATCAATGAAATCAAAACATAGTTAAACTGATACTAAAGCACTATCAAGTCTTAAGTTCATTACTACTTTAATTTTTAATTTAAATCTTTTTTAGGAAGCAGCTAAAATAATGTGTTGGTTCGATGGTTCAGACTTTAGGGAAGATTTAACAGATGTGATCGAACAGCAAGAAGTAAGAATACGTATCTCCGAAGGCTATGGAAGGAAAGAGGTTATGAGGAGGCAGGATTCTGACACATTCCAGCCGATGTTGAAGAGGAGTAGTGGGTTAGAGTCTAATTCGGAGAGGGAAAGGATAGAGCAGTCAGCGTGTAAAGAATTGTGTATGTACTTGTAGATTTATTTGTAGTTTAATATTTCCAATATAAATGCTATGATGATATAAAGTCTGGGTTCGTATCCCGATCAGACACAAAAATTTTACTTAAGTTTTTTTTGTACTTATTTAAATTTTTTGTTTGTTTTTTTAAATGTTTTTTTTTTTGCCAAAAACTCCGAGTGAATTTTGGTAGTCCAGACTAAACACTTTATTTGTCCAAACGGCGATTTCAAAATTTTTATGTATGATTTCAGTTCGTCACCGCGGTACTCGTCGGGCGTTATTCTCCTGTTTCATAGTGCTTTGTGCGGCGGCGGGCAGCGGCGCGGGCGCAGTCAACAGCTTCGCGGCCGCCGTGTTGAGGCATTCCGCACATAGTGTTCCTGTGCTGAACACTACTGCGTATAACTTCACTATTTATAACGGGTATATACTATATATTATTTGTTTTTATTTTTTCTAAGTTATTTGATTGTATTAGCAAGTTATATTTTTAATCAACACAAATGTTTGTATTGTTGTATTAATAAATCTAAAGTTTTAACCTAATTTGTAAAGTTTGTGTGTGCATTGATTAGTTCATATCAGAGGAACCCATTTAGTGTTAGGGAAATAAATAAGTAAAATTTATGATATTAATAAAGTAGCTTTTTGAACTCTTTATCGTCTACTCCATTAAACAGTATTATAGCAATAATATTATTTTTTAACGATTGATTGATCCATTTATTCATTATTTATTAATTATTAATTCATTAATGAACTAATCTTCTTCTTCTTATTAATAAAAATGTATGGGTAAATGTGTTGCTAAGCGCATAACTCGAGAACAGCTGGACCAATTCGGGTAATTCTTTTTTTCAAATATTCGTTGAAGTCCGAGGAAGGTTCTTATGAAGAGAAATATTGAAAAAAAATGCCCGGAGAAACAAAAAAAACCATAATTTTTCTAATCGGACCTGCTACACACTTGATTTGACAGAATGCGGTCTATCGGATCAGCTAGTACCTACATAATAAATATAGCTCAAGTTTGTTTACAACGCAACCCCACAGACGCGTAAATTTTTTTTAAATTTCAGGACACTGCCACGCACATTGTTTGAGACTTCAGAAGCTGGATCAATGCTGTGCGGCACGGCGTTAGTACTGGGAGCAGCTGTAGCAACTATCACAGTAGATAAAGTCGGGAGGAAGGTACTTTAATAATAATTATTAAAAAATAATTACCTACCTACCTTATCTTACCTATAAAAGTGTTTTATTAATTGTAATATATAGACAATCCTTGACGCGTAAACAACGTATTAACACATCATGAAAATCGGTTCACAATTGGCGAAAGCATTCATCTCAAGTCAGGTCTAGTATTTCTATATATATTGTTTAAAAGGAAAAAATATTTAAGATTATTGGTTTTTAAGGTCTTTAATAGCGTATAGTATTATTATTTTCTCGCTAATAAAAACTGTAGATTTAATAAAAGTGACCTATGTAAGCGTTATGTCAGGTAGTCAAATGGGTCAAACTCGTTTTCTTTAGCAATATCGATTATAGAAATGGCCATTTCTACAGAGCTTACGAAATGTAAGTAATGATTGATGTATGCTTTTTTCAGACTTTATTAATATGGTCGTGTTCTGGAATAGCCCTGGGACTAACTATCTTGGGAATATACTGTGATCCACATCTTCGCATGCACTCATGGTACCTCCATCGCCTATGGCCGTTACGGCGTTATAATTATAAGGAGAAGAATATTCGTGAACGATTAGATATATATGATAACTATTCATTATATAATCATACTGTTAGTCCGTTTATCAATGATAGTGGAAAGTCATGGTATCGAGTTAGTGAAAGTGAGAATAGCACCGATGTTGATTGGTCAGTTAAGTTTGAGCCTAAGGAAAAGGAGGAAATAACAATATGGCTGCCAGTGATTTTGCTCTCGATGGTTCTCTTTTTGTATAACATTGGTTTGGGGTCGGTCCCTTATGTGCTGATATCAGAACTTTTTACTGTTAATGTAAGTATGGAATTTGATAATTTTAAACATTTAATGTATAATATATATATATAATGATGTTGTATATTGTATATATGTTTGTACATTTTTAGGTTATATTTGTATAGTGCCTATTATTTTTTATATTTTATATGGGTTAGAACTGAAACACAAAGCTAGATGGTAGTTTTTGTGCTAAATAAAATATAAGACATTTGACAATAAAGTTATACTGTATTTTTTACGCTATGGTAACTTAAAAATAAAATTTCAATACAGCATTTCATTCAGTAATCAAGTTATATTTATTAAACTTTGTTAATGAATGTTTACCTTCCAATATTAAAATATAAATATTTTCATATATTATATTTAGTAAATATTTGGTCTTCCATTCCAGGTCAGAAGTCTAGCGTCAAGCTTTCTAATAACATGGATGTGGTTCAGCAACTTTCTTCTCCTCCGATACTTTGGACCGATCGCCGTCTCTCTCGGGTTACACGCTACATACTATATCTGCGCATCCATCACAATCTTAGGCGCCACATACATTTACTTCACCATACCGGAAACGAAAGGCAAAAGTCAGAGCCAAATCGCTGAAGCATTGCAAGGACCTTGGATCTTATTCAAAGCTAAGAAAAACGATCGATGACAGTTAACAAGTGGAGTATTTACTCTTACAGAAAGGAATTTTGTGGAAAATTAACAAGTTGTTTCTTTTGGAACAGATTATTATGAGGTAGTTCCTGTTCGACTCGAAGGAAGTCTAGATATGTGTATAAGTGCTCAAGATTTAGTTAATTTCAATATAATCTTATCTCAATAGTCGATTCCTATTTTAGCGATATGTAGATAAAAAAAGATTGAAAGATTGACATATAGAATAGAAAGGTAAACATATATAGATATCGTAAGAGATAGTAATAAAGCGTTACCTTTCGTAGTATAAGTGTATGTCTAATATTAATTGTGTCAATTAAAATAAGGCTTTGAAATAATAGATCATGGAATATTACATATGAACAGAAAAATTAAAGTTTTTTAAAATATTAAAAATAGTTTCAGATATCAGTGTTATATAAATGTTTTATACTCGAACGTAGATCGTCGCTTAGCTAAAAATGTCTAGAAAAAAAAAGGAATGTATTCAGCCATTTTAAAAAGTCACACTGCTGATCACGCGTCTCCCTTACGAGGAGGATCAGGCTATATTAAAGAATAATATTATCATAGATAACAGTGAACGGTCACAAAAATGATAGCCACACGACGCACCATACTAATTTGAAAAATATTAATGATATAATTCAAGCATTTTCTAAAACTTCACCCCCTTAAAGGATAGTTTCCAGGATAAAAGCTATCCTATCGCTCCACTGCCGGGCACGGGCCTCCCTTAAATACGAGGAGGGATCACGCCATAGTTCTCCACCATCAAGTGCGGGTTAGCAGACTTCACATGTCTTTCGAAAACTTGCTAGGTTCTCTCAGACTTGCAGGTTTCCTCACGATATTTTCCTTCACCATAAAACTAAATGGTAATCATGTTGGAAATGATTCGCACATGAAAATATCAGAGGCGCGAGATCCAGGACTTGAAACCGCTTCACTCTGTTTCCCAAGCGAGCGCGTTACCATTGGGCTACCACTCCCTTGAACTACAACACATACAAAACAAAATAATAACTAAGCCTCCTCTTTTTTTGCAATCGGTCAAGCAGTTGTCTATACTAATATTATAAAGAGGTAAAGTTTGTGAGTTTGTGACGTTGTGAGGGTAATCTCTGGATCTACTCAACCGATTTAGATAAAATTTGGCAAGAAGATAGTTTGAGACCCTGGGAGGTCATAGGGTACTTATATCCCGGAAGTCATCCCTTATGAGGGTGAAAATGTGGATGATAGTTTGTATTGGCAGGCAAACAGGGAGGAACCCGAGCGAGTTTAAGCTAATTTTCCATATGTTTAACTAAGCGACGAAAATAGTGCCTGCTATAAAGATTCCTGAGATATGCAAAATGTTAGTTCCAAATGTTGTCGTCTAGGAAAATTATTGATGTTGTATTTATTGGATATTTTTGTATGTTAAGACCTGATTGTGTATGAACCAATATGAACATGGCACTATTCTGTTAGAAAAAATAAATTAAAGTAGTCTTATAAATCTTACAGATCGTCAAAATCAACATAGGTCTAAATGACTTCATTTAATTGATTAAAATTGATATCATGTTCACCATAAAATCATATATGATTTTATGGTGTTCAGTGACAAACGAGCAGATAGACCACCTGATGGAAAGCAGTATTCATGCACTTAGTTTTTATGTAACAAAAACCAGAACCGCCGGTGCGTTGTCACTGCGACGACTAAGATGATATGCCTCTTGCCTGTAATTGCGCTGGCTACCTTATCCTTCAAATCGGAACACAACAATGCAATCATTGTTGCTTGGCGGGAGAAATAGATAAGGGGGTGGTACCCATCCATTTGGACTCCTCAGGCTTGACAGAGTCCTACCACCGGTAAAATATTCAAACTGCACACAAATTAAGGACCACATTTTAAATTCAGAAAAATAAATTCATTCACACCTTCGTTCACAATCAGGTCTTCTAAAAATCAATTAAAAAAAAACAAAGTAACCATTTAGAGTATAAGCAGTAATTGTTATTTATAAGTATTTTTATAGAATAAATTGAATTTTTTTAGGGAAATTATACATTGATGTTAATATTTTTTGTACCTGATACATTATTTTTCAATCTTTCCGGTTATAAACTAGTGAAATGAATCCACCGCCATCTTGCAATGTACATTTGAATTTCCAAAACTAGAACGTAATATTTTACTAGTTAAGTTTTAGTTTAAAAGAGTAGATGAATATTTTTTACTAATTCTCATATATTATTCGAAGTTTCAAAGGTTGCTTTATTGCATTCATTGAATAAAAGATTCAACTATGATTTCTATAAAAGAGAAATAAGTTGTTTAAAAAAAATATATTTTAAATAAATACATTTCAATTTAATTAAAATGCTTATTCTAATTTAATGAATATTAGTGTATTTTGCTCTATTATTATCTTTACACAATATATCATAAATTTTTATATGAAAAAACTCAAATAATGTTCATAATAGTCACTTTTGGTAAAATAATAATAATACTCTGTATAGAACTATCCTAACATCCACCCCTTTTGCCCATACTTTTATTTACATACCTTTATCCCACCATCGTCCAAAAACCCTTAAAAAAGACATACAGATTAATATAGAACCTCCTTTCAAAATCCTTTTTGGAAATCAGTTAAAAATGAGAAGAATGACGAAATGAACTCAGCAGTATTACTTTTATTTATTTCATTAAAAAACTATGATGATATATGAGAGTAGAATGTACATAGAAATATTGTGCTGTGAATTTAGTTAAGGTAATGCAATTTTTTTAAAGCTTCACGTAAAAAGTATCAGACCACAAATATTTTTGCTAAAAAATTAATGTATTTGGTATTTATTGGTGTTTATGAAATAGCTATAAAATACAAATATGATTGTGAATAAAAGAATAATAAAATATTGTGTTTTATTATTTTCCATAGTCCCAGAAACTAGCTTTAGCCATAGTGTAGAACAAAAAAATCTATCCCACGGGAAGCATACATTTTTCCAGGATATCAGGTTGTATATAAGTATTCCAGACTATAATCTATCCCTATGCCAAATTTCAACCAGATCCGTTCAGCCGTTCTAGCGTGATTGAGAGATTGAGAAACAAACATCCATCCATCCAAACGTTCGAATTTATATAGTAGTAAGATTGATCAGCTAGAAACCTATACTTTCCCCAATGAATGGTCACAAAAATGCGAAAAGAAATTTGATTTATAACTCCAGAGATTAGTGAACTTGAACTCCGAACAAAAAAAGTTTTTTAGCTCGATAATAATACATAAGAGTCGGTAAAATTACCATGAAGGGTAGAAAACGAGTACAATCGTTATAGAAAAATATGAACTGCATTGCGATCACTACTGTCTTTAATCTTGTTCCTCTGCTTCTTAAAACAGCTAACTTTTCGTATATTTTGATATATTTATATATGTATATATTTTGTGTCTAAAGTTTATCGACGCGCCATACTAATTTGAAAAATAATAACACAATTGAACGATTTTCTAAAACTTCATATCCTTAAGGGACGATTTCCGGGATAAAAACTATCCTATGTCCTTTCCAGGGTCTCAAACTATCTCCATACCAAATTTCATCTAAATCGGTTCAGCGAATTAAGCGTAAATAGGTAACAGAAAAACAGAGTTACTTGCGCATTTATAATATTAGTATGAATTTAAGCATTCTGAGTATAATTTTATAAAAGAATATTTAAAAAAAAATTAAAATAATATAACGATTTGAAAGATATATAATTTTATTATCACAATAGCGTAATTAAACTTACTACTTATAATTAAACATAAATATATATCAAAAATTTTATTCTAGTGATTTTTGAACCTCTCAAAAATGTGTTAAATTGTAATGTCGCATTTTTATTTTATATTTTAATTCCCGACGTTTCGAATGCTTTAAAACCAACTTGGTCATGAGAGAGACTAAAGATTTTAGACGTCTCTAAAGTCATTATATAGTTGTTACAGACACTATCTACACAAAATTTATACGTTAATTTGAAAGATATCTATCTACCCTGGAACAAAAATATAAAATGAAGTCGCGACAAAATCTTAAAAGATAGTTTCACTTTTAAATAGATAGAGATTCTAAAATATTTTACGAGTATATGTGTAAAATGTTATATTATAATATAGTACAAATGTTTCAGTCCCCAAACTTATTAGGTACTATAAATACAAATCACAGCTGCGAAGTCTTAAATTTAAAATAATATGTGTACATCATAAATATAAGGATTATTCTTTTTCTTTAGTTCTTTATGATATCGATATCTGATCATGCCAGTTGGGCATAATTTACTTCAAACATATCGCGTAGGCAATTTTTCTGCTTACTTGTCTGCTTTTTAGATTGTGTACTTTCCTCTTATACTAAATCTTATATACTAGCGACTCACCCTCGCTCTGCTCGGGTTCGTCCCTACTAACGTTTAGTATCGATTTCTCAGAGATGAGATATTTTCCCGCATTAAAAAGTATTCTATATGTTGACCCGGATAACCAGCTATTATCATACCAAATTTCATCAAAATCCCTCCAGTGGTTTTGCCGTGATGCGGTAACAGACAGACTGACAAAAAATATAAAATCTATAGATTCGGCCTCTGTATCCATAATAATATCTATTTCAATAAGATTTTCCAAAAAATATTTTATTAACAAACAGATTCGGCTTAGTTACAATTTTATTATATGTAGAGATGATTAAAATGAATATTTGTGAGTTTTCTTATCAGCGAACTTCAGGATATTTGTTAGTGTCAGTAAGACTCAGACTGCTTGCCATAAACTGAGGTGATACCAAAAAATAATATTTGCGCAATTTTTTCTATTGTAGTAGATTGCTCTTATAAACTATTAACGATTATAGTTATTAATATCATTTAAATATAGCTAAATCTAAAATTTATATTGCACAATCTGGCACTGCGTGATACTGGCAGAACATTTTGCATCTGTTAACACAATTCACAATTGGAAAAAAAATTGCCTACATTATACGTTTCGAATTTAACACTGATAACTGGACAGTGGTAATTTAACTGATCATTTCGGAATATAGATTTAACATTCTTATCATTTTGTCATATCTTCTAATGCATGTTATTAGTTCTTCAAAATAAATTTATAAATACTTTGTATACTTCTTATATCATAAATATACAAAACAAACACTGTGGTGTACATATTTGTTTTTTATACACATTTAAAATATACTAGTGGATACTCAGTTCAAAATCATAGCCTGATTATACCCAGCATCAGATCATCATATAACTTCTGCGTTAGTGGTATATATTCACCAAGTTTTTGGTCCAAGAAGTATATTGGTTCTTCGTGAAGACTTAGATTGAAGCCTTGTTCTATTAACTCCCTCTTTTTTAATTTAAATGTTGCCGTTAGTGGTGGTTCTGGAAGAATTCTAATGAACAGAGGTCGTGCATATACAGGTAGGGAGGAATGAAGCCCATGGGCTAATTCTACTAAGTCGACTTTCCGATCTGGATCAGCTATCGCGGCCATACCTGCTCTACCTTCTACTCCTGGAATCTGTAAGTTTAAACAATATTTTATGTTAACATTTTTTTGTTGGGTAATGTAGGTATCTGTTTTTTATTTTATATTATTTTTTTTTTTAATTACTCATTTACTATAAATTGGATTTACTTTACTGACTTTTTTTTATTTAATTTGTATTTTGATATAATCAATTGCAATGTTTAAATATAGATACACAGTTAAAACCGTTCAAAGGATTAAAACGGCATGTAGCAGATATTAAAGGGCATGTAGAAATCACGAATATTGTTATGTGAAGAAATGTTTTAATAGCATGGAATAGACTTTTTTTATTTATTTATTCAATTGCAAAACGATAACAAACCTATCCCACGGGAATCGTTAATTTTTCCGGGATAAAAAGTTACCTATGTGCTGTTCTAAACTACGATCTATCTCTGTACCAAATTTCATCCAGATCCGTTCAGCCATTCTGGTGTGATTGAGTAACAAACATCCAAACATCTAAACTTTTACATTTATAATATTAGTAAGAATAATGTCAAATCATAAATATTAATAAAACACAAGTGTTTAACGCAAACTTTATAAATGCTATGAATAAGAGTTCGAACTCACAGACACTCCATACACAACTGCGTCTTTCAATCCAACTAAATTACTGATAACTCCTTCTACTTCTGCTGTAGAAACGTTTTCACCTCGCCATCTGTAAATATAAAATGTCTCACGTTACTACAAATATTTCCTAGAATATCATTTTATTAGTTTGTTATTTTTTCATGCCTAAATAGCTGAACAGATTTTGATGAAATTTGGCTAGAACATAGATTGCATCATAAGGACGGGCATACGCTATCTTTTATTATTGCCCCGCTTATTCTAAGGGTAGATCAGCAGACAATCACAAGTATCTTATAAGTAATAATCTCACCTTAACTATAAAGGATTTTATAGATGACTAGTGACTCGCCCTCGCTACGCTTCGGGTTCGTCCCTAGACAAAAACAAATCTATCCCACGGGAACTGAGCATTTTTCCGAGACGATATATACCTATTGCTTTCTAGCAAAAAGAATTTTTCAAATCGTATTTCCTGAGATTAGCACGTTCAATCAAACAAACAAACTCTGCCTCTTTATTAAATAAATATAGATTATTATCCATGGTAGGTACTTTAGTACCTACAATTTTTTTAACATCTTATAACTTGTAAAATTAACAAAAGAAGATAAAGTAAAGCATAGTAAGAATTTCAAGACATTTAAAACATATTGAAAGTAGCGGTACATAATAGTTTAACCCAAGCAGAAGCAATCTGTATATAAAACAACCAAATATAAACATCAAATAATTGCACTATGCGGAAATCGAACCTACGCTTTCCACTATCAAAAGCATATCTTTAGATACAGTGTCTGCTCTTAAAATTAAAATGAAATTTAACAAGTTATAAAGAATAAGTGAAGTCTGCCAGCCCGCACTTGGCCAACATGGCCTGATCCCCCTTGTATTGAAGGGAGGCCCGTGCCCAGCAGAGGGACGTTAAAAAGGGCCAAGTAATAAGTTATAAAAGAATTAAGTACGTATATAATATTACCTAAAAGTATCCCCAGTCCGGTCCTTGAAATAAAAGTATCCGTAGTAATCCATTACCAATATATCTCCAGTATTAAAATAGCAGTCGCCCTTCACTCTAACGTTTCGGACCATCTTCTTTTCGGAGGCTGTTTTATCAGCATATCCAGCAAATGTGAGAATTGCTTTCTTGGAATCTATTTTACCAAGTAGAAGACCTAAAAGTATAGTATTTTTAGGTAATGTTAGTTTTATTATTTTAGTTTTGTGATTTTTAAACTTCTGTCGACAAGACTATACATACGATATGTAAAAACTCATTCAACTTTTACAGTTTTTGTGGAAGTTATAATAAGCACAAAAATAACTACTAATCTTTTGGATAAACGATTTACAAAACACTCAGCTAGTACGTACTTGGCAGACAAATAATTAGATTTCCAATATATCATAAAAAGAAGTTTTTATATCATATAAATTGTGTAATAAATGATTGATTTAATTAAAAGTTTTTTTTAGGTATTTATTCGTAATATTCTCAACAAACCCTTCCATTAAATATTCATATTATCATAGGGGTGCATTAAAAACCATAGTCCGCCATCGATGGAAGTCGCCATGTTGGATTTAGAATGATGTCACTTATCTAACCATATATTGTCATCTAAACTAAACGTGTATACAAAATTTCAGCTCAATCAGTTGAGGATAATACCTTTAAAATTTAGTGGCAAGATTTGGCTCGAACAAACATTCATACAAACATTGCAAGTTAAATTCAGTTTATCATGGAACCTTTTTAGGAACACAACATCTCATCCAATACTTCAAAGTCTTAGTATACTGAAATAAATAAAGTTTATTATTTACTATTAATTTATTACCAGGTTCGTATGGACCGCAGTTGATACATCTTCCATTTTCATCTCTTAAAATATCGCCAGTTACTTCGTCACACCTAGAATAACAATATTTTTAATGAATTCAATGAAATTCTGAAATGAATTCTGCTTGAAATCTTCATATAAAATGAAAGTTATTAAGTTTTGTATCGCTTTACTGATGAAAGCTGTAAAGAAAATGATTATTTATTTGACCTATTACAATTTACTAGCCGTACCCGGCTTCGCCCGCATTTTAACTTCCAATCGCTAGTAAACTTCACAGGATCAGCCGCTAGGCTAATCTAAATATTTAAACAACTAAACATTTCATCAAAATCGCTTCAGCCGTTTTGTAATCTATAGGGAACATACACTCACATCGTTTTTTTTATATATAGATAGTACTTACTTGACTAAAGTTAGAGGATATATAGACGACACAAGTCGACTTAGAAATCCAATGGCACCAACTTTAGAATCCAAGTTAACTGACAAAAGAAGAAAGTCCTGATTAAATAGGTCGTTAAAATGTTTTAATGGTTATAATATTTTTTTATAGTCTCAACTTACCCCGGCTTTGCTAGAGTGCATCGATAAGCTAAGTGTCTAGATGTTTGTATTTATAATGTAATGTATATATTTTACTGGCCAAACAAGATTTCAGGACAAACTGGCTTGTCCTGAAATTTTATCCCAGCTTTTTAGCAGATAATTGAGCCCAGATAAAATACTAAATATTTTAGGCTTAACTACTCTTACCTAGGCCGAACTGATTTTGGCGTATTATTCGGCTCTGTAGTGTATGAACCACGGTCTCTAGAGGGTGGTATTATTATGTGACAGGCCCGACTTCGTTAACGTAGGTTGAGAAGGTCGTCTTTTCACGTCCTTTTTTTATTTCAAACCCAAAACGCTCAATATTATAAGTTCTATGTTATTTCAGTCAGTAGTAGTTAAGCCTAAAGTATTTAGTCCAAACTAAATTTTCATGGACTAAACTTGTATATCCTGATACACTTTGATGAACCGGTTTGGCCTAGGACAAACCACTTTAGCCTAAAATCTAGTTTGGCCGGAAGCATGCACGCAAGCATGCAAGCAAACACACACAAACACACACACACACATTTTGAATTTATAATCGTCATCTCATTCGCATAGGAAAGCATGTTATAATACAACCCATAACAACTCATTATACCTATGTTTATATAGTCTATCTATTCCATACTAACCATTAAAATGTATATAGTTGTAAAGAAATCAAAAAGCAAAATACCCAAATTACTGTTGCCTTCAGTAGCTCCATAGAATTCCAAAACACGTTTAATTCCAAATCTCTCGACAAACTCCTGCCATATTTGCGGCCTTAAACCATTTCCGATAATAATCTTCACATTGTGAGATCTATCACTCGATCCAGGCGGCACTGATAAGAGATAGCGGCAGATTTCGCCTATGTATTGGGTTGCCTGCAAAGTAAAAAAATCATTTATTTTTATATCAAATTCTTTGGCTTTGCTCTTAAGAATTAAATGCCAACCTTGTAAATGTATAGTATACATCCATGCTAATATTTTAAACTAGCGGCTCAGCCTCGCTTCGCTCGGATTCGTCTCTAGACAAACAAAAACTAATCTATTCCACTTGAACCGTACATTATTCCGGGATAAAAAGTAGCTTATTTGTTATTCTGATGTATGAACTATATTATTGTAAAGCTTCATTAAAATCCAATCAGTAGTATTTGTGTACTAAGTTGTATAAGTTACTATAGTTTCTTAACTATCCCACGGGAATTCTTTCATTTTCCGGAGTGCAAAGTATCTACGATATTGACCAAGGATATAAGGTACCACCATGCAAAATTTCATTTAAATTGGTCCAATAGTTTTAGAGATTAGCCGGTACAACCAGACAAACAGACAGAGAAACAAAAAAATTGAAAAATCTGGATTTATGTAGAACATATCCAGACTTTTTTCAATTTATTTGTTTCTATTCTTACATCCCTATTTTTTAACATATCACACATATTGTAAAGCAAGGATAAAGGAATTTTATCAAGGATAATATAAGAAGTACCTACTTAAACTTCTCAATTTTTTGTCTAATTTGGAAAGCCGTTCAACCATTACTTTACTTGAATATTGTGAGGAGTGAAAGAACGGGTTTGAACAAAACACTCATCTTACAAAATAAGTTCAATAATACTTGTTTAACTTTTTAAATAAATACCTTCCAGACATCTAAAACTTTAGTCTCTCCCGTAACCATGATTGCTATAAAGCATTCAAAGCGTCGGGGACCAAAAATTAAAATAAAACCGCGAAAAAATCTGAAAGGGCAGATTTTTTATTAAGGTTCGCCTTTATAATATTATTTACCGTGCATCCATATTTTGCAGCATCTTTCCAATAGTTACTGGCAGAAAATTTCTTTCGTAATACAACAGTACAGCCCAGTACAAGACATTGTCCTGCTCCTAGTACTCCGCCCGCTGTATGATGCAGCGGCAGTGGGTCATACAAAATGTCCGAAGCTTTTAGTCGAGCTGATGTATGTACTCCGAGTGGAATGAGAAGATATCTGTAGAAAATTAAACATACATATAGTTAGTTTACATTAGATTTTTCTATCTTATTTAGTCGAAGAATAAACAAATACTATTTTTGACTAAAAAACGTATTTGACGTGATTCATGATTCAAATTTTTCATTGTTCTTTTTTTAATAAGCAGGCTATACAAGAATGGTTAGATACGAATATCTTGAAAATATCCCACGTCAAAACCCCCTGATTTACAACTGTTATAACTTCTTTTAAACGGATTTTAAGTTATATCTGTTCATACTCGAGGCTCACCTTATTCTACATTACCCTAAATACATAAGTAAATTCTACACCACTATTTCAAGAAGTACATGGACTCGCCTAGGAAGCCGAGTAAAACGGGTTCCAATCCCGGGACTTGCACCTCTGATATTATCATGTGCCAATCATTTCAAACATGATTACCACTTGTCTTACGGTGAAGGCAAATATCGTTAGAAAACCTCCATGTCTGGGAGAACCAGTTTTCGAAAAACGTGTGAAGTCCTCCAACCCGAACTTGGTTAGCGAGTTGGATTATGACCTGATCCCAGGGAGACCCGAGGGAAGCCTAGCAATGGGATATTAAAAAGGGCTGAAAAAAACATTGGCTAAAAGAAGGAAAGAAAGATTTATTAGTCTAATTACCTTATATTTGTAATAATAGCTGCTTTAGGAAAGCCAGTGGTCCCACTAGTATATATATACAACAATGTATCCCTGGTACTAGCAGGTTCGATATCAGTGAAAGCTTCACTTGTCATTTCACTTAACTCCACTGATAAAGGTGTGGTATCTTGAAGTATGGATGCTGATTCTCTCTCCGGTGAGTTGAATTGGAATAAAGGAATATCTGGTAGCTCACTTTGAATTGCTTTTATTGCTAAAATAAAAAAAATAGGTTAATATTAAAATATTTGTTAAGATTGTTTTAAAACCTAACAAATTCGCATTTGCATAATAAATTCGCCATTAGGTCTCCGCTGGTCACGACACCGTGCGTAAAATTCAAACTATTAAAAAAATGCGATTGACTGTTTTAAATAAAATGCTGTAGTACGAACAGAAATTGTACAATATGAATGTGATGAAAAATAACAAAAAACCGTTAAATTTATTGTGGAGTACCTAGTTACAAATAATAAATATATTTGCTGGGAGGATTTTTTTATCAATCATAATAATATTATCTCAATCTCAAAGTTTGGGCTCTAAGAATTCAACTTTTTCGATCAGATTCACAGATCTCTTTATAGTAGGGGAGCCCAAGAGGGGATTTTCTGTAGTTACTCGAGCGCGGCAGATTAACATAAAAGAGATTACCTTGCACTCTATTGAGTACTTTCACCACAATATAAGTCTTCTATATAAAGGGGCGCGTCTAGGGAAGCCGATTAAAATATTTAATCTAATAAAATCGACTATAAAGTTTATGATGATTTTTGCCTCTCAGGCTTGTGCAAATCAGCAGATTATTAAATTGGACACTTTTCAGGATGTGACTAGCCTACCACACCTTAATCTGACGGTTTCAAGTATTTCTACCTTATCAAAACATTTTTTAAATATTTTAATCGGCTTCCCTAGACGCGCCCCTTTATATAGAAGACTTATATTATGGTGAAAGTACTCAATAGAGTGCAAGGTAACCTCTTTTATGTTAATCTGCCGCGCTCGAGTAACTACAGAAAATCCCCTCTTGGGCTCCCCTACTATTATATACTAGATATTAATAAGCACATATGATGCTATTATGGGAATCAAAATAAAAATTTCGATATACGAAAGACATATTTAAGAAGTATTATAAAGGCAGTGGTAGCCCAGTGGTAACGCACTCGCTTGGGAAACCGAGTGAAGCGTGTTCAGATCCCGAGTCTTGCACCTCTAATATTTTCATGTGCGAATCATTTCTAACATAACCTAACAATTTTTCGAAAGACATGTGAAGTCCGCCAACCCGCACTTGTTCTATGGCCTGGTGGTGGTCTATGGCTTCCCCCTTGTATTGAAGAGAAGCCCGTACCCAGCAGTGGGCCGTTAAAAAGGGCTGAATAGAAAAGATAGAAGAAGAAGACAAGGGCACTTTACAATTAAATTAAACGAAGTAGAAACCAATAATAATTATAATTAATTACGAATCAATGCTTACCCAAAATACGAGTATATTAAATACGATCTATGTAGGTCATTATATAATAGCCAGCATAGTTTATAAAGAATATAGACTAGGCTTAAAGAATTTGGCTGTAGATTATTTTGTGTGTATGTTACGCCATATCTCAGCAAATTATGAACATTAATATTATGTGTATGTATGTATTCAGCCCTTTTTTTTTAATGTCCCACTGCTGGGCACGGGCCTCCCTTCAATACGTGGGGGGATCAGGCCATAGTCCACCACGCTGGCCAAGTGCGGGTTGGCGGACTTCACATGTCTTTCGAAAACTTACTAGGTTCTCTCAGACATGCAGGTTTCCTCACGATGTTTTCCTTCACCGTAAGGCAAGCGGTAATCATGTTAGAAATGATTCGCACATGAAAATATCAGAGGTGCGAGACCCGGGATTTGAACCCGCTTCACTCGGTGTCCCAAGCGAGCGTGTTACCACTGGGCTACCACTGCCTTCCATTCCATTCTATTAATATTATAAAGAAGTATAATTGGTAGGTTTGAACGTAGGGAGTAAGTTAATCGAACTACCATTACAAATATGAGAAATTGTATGTGTGTAATTGTGTTTGTATATTTGATACTCCGTCATGCTAAAACAGTAATCTGAGGGAAGTGAGGTAAAGTCACTAATAATAAAAAATGTGATTCTTACCATCTGTCATTTCATCTCCAAAAACAACAGCTTTACATCCAGCGATTCTCAAACAGTGAATCAATTGGGCGCCACGTAGGTTAGTATTAATTAACGCAGTAGTAACTCTTAACTTTGCCAATCCTAACCATAGAAACACATACTCCGGCTGAGTTTCCATAAACAAGGCGATCACTTCACCTGTTTTAAATCCTTGGCGTTTAAAGTACCAGGCTATTCGGTTACTAAACTCATCTCCCTTGAAAAAAAAAATTTGGCATTAAATTTGCAATATTAATAATGTACATAGGTATGAGCGCAAACACAAGTGCACTCTTAAAAAAGCGTTTTCACTTTCAAACACCAATGGGATGAAAATTACGACCGGTGAGAGCTTAGGTGCAGGACTGAGGTGTTTACGTGCTTTCAAAGCACGTTGTTGAAACATCGACAACTTTCCAACCACAGGCTGTTACTGAGTATTTCTTAGCAAAATACTCTACAATTAAATTTGACTCGATCCAGGACTCGAACCCAGTACCCCGGATTTATAGCAGTACATGCTAGCCACCGAGGCAAAAACTATAACAATATTAATATAATAACTGATGTTACCTCACGAAAAGTCATCGATCTGTTATCCATAATGAAGGCCTTTTTTTCCGGTGATTTCTTAGCAACTTTAGCCCAACGGCTAACAACCGTAGTTCCAGAGCGTTCCCAGATCCAAATTGTAAACATTGTCACTAGAAGAACTCGTAAGCCTCTGAAAATAATATACAATACTTTCTTAGATTTATTTGACGAACGAAAGACCAATATATTTGAGGTTTTATAATGAAACTTTTTTCGCGATTTTATTTTGTATTCTGTTCGAACCAGTCTTTCCCGTCAACATATATTTTGTGAAACATTCAAAACGTTGGAAAGGAAAATATAACCGCGACAAAAGCCAAAAAGGTAATATCATTTAAAAAATTGAACAAAAAAAGAATTGTATTGTGGACTACAGTAATAGCTAACGCATAATTTTCAACCGCATACGGTTGCAAATTACATAGTAATTCTCTATTTAGTACACTATTCTAATTGAATGAGACATACTTGTAACGTGATCTATACAAATATATACCCTGTCCAGTTATCGAACCTAGAATGTGCGCCGTTTCGTCACAACTATAGCTGAACTATATCAGAACTAGCGTCTTAATCTCGTTTCACTCAGACCCTGGATGATTTTTATATTAATTACATTAAATACCTAGCGAATCCGCGGCTTAGCTCGCGCTAAGACTTTAAATAAAACTCTAAAAACGTAGATTTCATACAAACTTTCATCCCCTGTTTTACCCTCTTATGAGATGAATTTCGAAAAATGCTAAAACACCTATTTACTTAATTATATTGATGAGCATTAATTGAAAAAACAAAGTTTCAAGAAGTTCATAAATATTTTTTTGGGTTGTATTATAACGTAGGAATGACATGATCTCCCGCGATAAAAAGTAGCCTATATCACTCTCCAGGTCTTCAACTATTTCCAAACCAAAAATCATGCCAATCTGTCACTCCGTTTCGACGTGAAAGAAAGACAAACAAACAAACAGACTTTCACATTTATAATATTATTAATTAATAAATTAATTAATGACACCGCCATCTTTTGGTCATAGCCTGTCTGTGTATAAATTTCATACAAATCAGTCCAATCGTTTCAGTGTAAAAGATTAACAAACATACACACATACAAAATTTCGTATTTTTAGTAGTAGCGAGAGTCCCTATTATCCTAAAATTTATTTTAAGTCGTACATGAACAACATTTTGACATTCGACTAACATTGATAAACAAATTACGCGATCGCGCGAGGCCAAGGTCCAAACGGACACCTCATTCAATAGAGTAATCAGCCACATCCGGCAGCCGATGGAAAAATTGTCAATTTCTTTTAAACACCTTTGAGAGGTGTGGGATAGTGAAGATCAGTAACTGCAACTGAAAAAACTTTACATACTAGTGTCTTCTTGCTTTGCTCGCGTTCTGGGTGCCTTAAAGTAGCTATTCTCTTTGTACTAAATTTCGTCTAAATCCATTCAGTCGTTTCAATGTGAAGAAATAACAAACATACAGACATACAAACTTATTGAATTATAATATTATTCTGATATATCGGTGATCACTTTTTTTTACTTATACTTCGAGGGTCTCGAGACGGAGATCAAAGAGAGTGCGCCTCCGTTATGGACGTACTAAAATAACTTCCACTGTAAGAAAAACATTTTTTTAAATGTATATTGAACCACCCTTCAGGAGGGACCGATTCATAAAATCGGTTCATTATTGTCAACGATATCTATACATACTCGTATGATAAAATTCTGACTGAGTTGTATCTGTACATAAAATATTTTTTTTTTTGAAAATCTTATTGAAATAGTCAATATTATCGATACAGAGTATTTATTTATAGTTTTTAGAATTTTTGTCTGTTTTTCTGTATGTCTATCTGCCTAGGAATGCATCACGAGAAAACTACTCGACAGATTTTGATGAAATTTTGTACGATGATAGCTGATTATCCGAATCAACGTATAGGATACTTTTTACTGCGGGAAAATATATCAACTCTGAGAAATTTATACTAGCCATTAAAACATTACTACGGACGAACCCGAGGGAGCGAGGATGAGTCGCTCGTTGTTTCATGTACACAAAAACATGAGAGTTAATAAAATGATTCACCATTCAATATGGGTTAACAATAAAAATCATCCATTAAGTCAATTCATTTTATGTTTTTGTCGGCACTAAAAATAAATGCGATAATTGGTTAACAAATAAACTAATCAATATCAATAAGTATCTTAGTTTAGTTTCAGGCAGATTTGACTTGGATTATAACAAGTTAACAAAGAATCATTATTATTATTATTATTATTACTTTTTTTGAACTCGAAAACGTAACCTTACTCCACAGCACGCTAGCGAAATACGGAATAGCAGACCTCATGTGTTCCGAGAACTAATTGGATTCTCTTTCTCTTTTCATCGTCATTTCTCTTACCATTAGTATTGAAAATATATTATACTAGCATATATTATACTAGCAACCAAAAACCAAATTCTTAGGCTTTACATATTAGTTATACTCTTACAATGAAGTTTTTGTAATTTTTCTCAGAAAAGAGATATTTTCCCGCGGTAGAAAGTATCCTATATGTTGACCCGGATAACCAGCTATCATCATACCAAATTTCATCAAAATCTGTCCAGTGGTTTTCTCGTGATGCGATAATAGACAGACAAAAATTCTAAAAACAATAGATTCGGACTCTGTATCGATAATAATGTCTATTTCAATTAGATTTTCCAAAAAATATTTAATGTACAGATTTCACTTTGTTACAATTTTATTATATGTATAGATTGAAAATAATTCGCACATGAGAATATCAGAGGTGCTTAAAGTTTTGAACCAGCACTTGGCTAAGCGAACGTATCACCACTTAGCTATCACTACCTAGTAGGGATGGAACATTTCACGAGTAGCAAGTGAAAAATCACGTGAAATGCGTAATCATACGTCACACCTGCTACTTAAATGCATACTGGCTGCTACAAATCACAACTTGGTGAAATCTAGAGCTGTAGCAAACCGTATGTATTCGTTACTGAGTAACGGGTACGCCATCTAGTACCGAGTACCGAAACGTTACTCACGAATGCATTTCGTTACTCGCATTTTCCGTATACATTTTCGTACTGATGTTTTTATTGATTTTTTATTCAACAAAATACAATTTTCAGTTAATACCGTTGATCAGTAAATTGGTGAGTTTATTTATTTCGAGTTGCATGATTTCGGATTCTTAGAAATATTGTTTAGAAATAATTTTAAATTAGAAACAACAATTAAATTTAGAGCACATTTTTAGTTTTTTATCCAACAAATACTTATAATTTTTACTGAATGATTATGTGTAATACGTACAGACATAACCACCAACGCTGAGAACGAGCTAGAAATGTTTATTAATGAACCAGTGCTTCCGCGCGATTCTTCGCCATTAGTTTGGTGGAAATCTCACTCCTATATGTACCCCAATTTGGCGGAAATATTTCATGAGCACTGTCACATCGTGGTGACATCAGTGGAGTGTGAGAGAGTATTTTCAAAAGCGGGAAATTTTGCAACCCAAAAAAGAGCACGATTAAGCAGAAAACGAACAGCGGAACTTGTATTTTTAAAAAGCAATGAAGACTATTGTATATAGATATCTCATAAAAAAATCAATCATCAAAAAAATCAAAAAGCAAAAAAAATGATTACAAACAAATTAAAAAAATTAAGAAAAACAAAAAAAAAGTGTATAAAATTCTTTTATAAAAATTCTTATTGTACATAAAAACAATGAACTTTTAAATACGCCAATGTAATTATGGAACTTAGCTTAATACAATTTTACCGTGTGATTACTCTGATATATTTAAAATTCATTTAATTTTACACTGTCAGTCCCAAGCCTGTAGAAGTATGAGGGAAAGTTCATTGTTTGAAAATAGGTTCATTCAAAGCACCATGTACGTATGCAACTACGTCAGATCTATATTCTATATCTCTGCTCCATATCACATCAGTAGCGCCATTGGTGACATTTCATACTTCATTTTAATAGCAAATAATATAAAGTGTGACACCAGACCGTCGAAATCAAAAATCTATGCGTGAAAAGTAGCAGGTGAAATCACGTGAAAAATTGTTGTAATTTCATCACGTGATAATGATTTAAAAGTAGCAATCATTTCCATGCTTACTACCTAGTTATATGTCGCCCATATGAGCAGTAACCGGATGGTAGCCATTGTACCAGACATGCACCGGAGAGGTGTTGTTATTAAATGATTGTGTTGCATAACATCTTAAATGCATGTAAATTGCTTTTCATTTAAATAATTGGAGCAATGTACGTTGTAAGGTGATATATGATATACTTGTCGGTGCTAACAAACAGTGAATTAGTATAAACTAGTTGGCCTGTAAAAAGTCCTGTTCCAATTTCAATTTTTTTTTTGTGATCTTTATGTACAAACATTTTAAAAAGCATTTTCAGTATTTCCGAAATTCGCCAATATTACGGACAACCTTTCTATATATTTTTTTCTCCCCAAAAACTTTACTCAACATATAAAAAATAACCCTATCAAGTCATTCGATTAAAAATGAACAGCATTTAATTTTCATTTTTATAATTATAATTTGTATACATTTTCATGCAAGTACGTATTTCTTCTACTTCAAAGTTATCAAGCATGCTTTGTAAATGAACAATGGTGGACTTTGAACTAGAATGGATATAACAGGGTTGCCAAAAACTGAGAAAAATATTTTTGCTCTCTAATAATGGTATTTTTTCTCTTTTAGGATATACAGAGAGAACATAAAAACTATATTCAGCATTTCCGCTTGCTTACTCACAAAAAATTGTTTGAATATAACAATCTAGCTATGTTATAATTCAAATATTATTAAAAAAAATTATATTGAAGTGAGTATCGTTTCAGACTATTTATAAAATAAATACCAAATGTTCTTACATCCAAGATATCCCTTTTATTAAAATCTACTTCTCTATTTATAGCTTGAATTGGCTTTATTTTTTTATTATACCTTATTATATTATGTAAGTAAAATTGTGCATGCATTATGTCTTAGTGTAATATTGAGTAGCCTAAAACTTGCACAAAAAAATAAATTATAAAATGCAAAATGATTTTTTAAATCGAACCAGTATGTGCTTTGATTTATAATATCACATATTATTAATAAAAACAATCTCAGCTCAGCTAATACTAGTTGTACAAATGTCCTCCTGGCCTATTACAGTCATGGCGGCCAATCTCACTGAAATGAACCAACTACGCAGAACATAATACTTTACTTACTACTTTAATTTACGCAAATATTTGGCATTCGGATTTTTTTCGAGGATTTATTTTGATTTTTGGTTCTCGACGAGAACCCAAAAACAAAATAAATCCGCGAAAAAAAATCGGAAATGATAGGCTTATTTACAATGCACGGGGCATAATATAATATACTGCCTATTCCTTCAACTCACATTCCAAAGGAATAACAACTCGGCACGACCAGTATGAGATAAAACGCAGGAGCAGCTTACCGTGCTCTCGGAGGCACAGGTATATAAATACCGTCAACTTCCCACCTCAAGAATGCTTTTGAGTATTTCGTGAAAGAAAAACACCTGTAACTATTTAGGCACCCGGGACTCGAATCCAGTACCTCTCCTATCCTATCCGTAACCGTATATGTTAGTGACTAGACCAACGAGTCGGTCAACTATTAGTATAGTTTGATATAGATTACATAAATTGGTGTCATTACTATGCACGGTAGGTCGTTGCGTCGGTCCCTGTTGTTGTTAAATTAAGCCATAGGTCCTTGAGTGGATAAATTCTTAAGGTCGTCACTAGGAAAAACTAGATACTTCGAAAAAACATAAAAATCACATTTCATACATTAAATACATTCTTATTGTTTTAAATTTTGTGTAAATACCAACACTAGCCTATGTTACTCCAGGTCATAGTATATATGTTTATTTATCCAAATCCGTCCAGCCTTTTCATAATGAAGAAGTAACAAACAAACATACACACAAACTTTTGCATTTATTGTAACAATCCGAATATATGTATGTGTTATGATATTGACAGCCCTACGCGAAGTGCACTACAAACTTTAGAACCAGTGTGAAACTTAAGACTTACACGAACTTTGATCTATATGCGGTTAAGTCGATATACCAAGAATTGCCAACTGTTTATTTTATTCTATAAATATACCTTTACAGGAAAGGGCATTCAACTATATTTGAGGATATACAAAACTTTAATTTGACATATATGGCTTGGAATTACACAAAAACAGTAAAAGTAAAGTTAGTTATCACATTTCGTAACGAAGTACTAAAGATAAAATTAAATACTTTTGTGTAATTTTTGAACGTCTTTATCAAAAATTGTGTAGTTTCTGTGTATTTTTGTGTATATGTTACCGGCTAATCTAGATTTCGGGCCAAACTGGTTCATCCAAAGTGTGTCAGGATATATTAGTTTAGCCCAGGACAATCTAGTTTCGCCTAAATATTATTGGCTCTACTAGTTTGGCCTAGACCAAACTGATTGAAATAACATAGCACTTATAATATTGGGGTTTCTAGGTTTAAAATAAAAAGAAAGACCTAACGAGAAGGCTAAAGCGAAAGCTACTATACGCTTCACTTTCTTAACCTACGTCATTTAAGTCCCCAAGTCCACTCCTCTAGAGGCCGCGTCCCATATATTAAACAGCCGAATAATACCTCAAAATCAGATCGGCCTAGACCAAACTAGTTAAGTCTAAAGTATTTAGTATTTTGTCCGTCATTATATTATTTAAAAAAAATTAACATAAATAAATTAATTAGCAATAACATTTAAAATTATAACTTACATCATATCCCTGTAAAAAGTCTTCTTCCATATATAGACCCATTGATATCTGTCTCCTGTCATCAAATAGGCAGTAGAAGCAGCGACTAAAGTTCCCAGGATTGTTGAATTTCTTAGAAACCATAACAAAATCCCACTAATGCAGAATATTGATGTTAGGACGATCCCCTTTTGTTTTTCTGCTTCTTCAAAGCGCATACCCAATTTTTCAGTCATGATTAGTTTTTCACTTAACTGACATATTTTGGATATCTGGAATGAGAGTTTCTTTATAAAATACATTTAGTTGGTTGTCGCTGCTTATCATATAGGTAATTGTGGGTTCGAGACCTTTCAGTGTAATATAAAGATGGTACTTAGTTAAACAAAGTTAAGGATTAAGTACCATCCGCATCACTCAGGGTCTAAATTCTGACGGAAATAGAAGAATAAATAGAAATAACAGTAAATATATATTCTATAAAGATAAAAAAAAATTACGCTAAATAAAAAAAAAATAAAGTACAGTAATATTGCTACACTAAATATAATAAATAATGTAGCTTCTTTATGCATATGTAAATATATCTGCAAAAATCCTGCTAATTGAAAATCCCTAACATAAGTAAATAATATTTAAATATGCGTCCACTTCATAAAGGATAACGTGAAGACCAGCCGCGTGAGTCATACCCATCTCGGTACAAAGACTAACATCCTATAGTATATCTATACATATAATAAAATTCTGAGTTGAATCTGTATATTCAATATTTTTTGGAAAATCTTATTGAAATAGTCATTATTATCGATACAGAGTCCGAATCTATAGCTTTTAGATTTTTTGTCTGTCTGTCTGTCTGTCTGTCTGTCTTTCTGTCTGTCTGTTACCGCATCACGAGAAAATCACTGGACAGATTTTGATGAAATTTGGTATGATGATAGCTGGTTATCCGGGTCAACATATAGGATACTTTTACCGCGGGAAAATATCTCATTTCTGAGAAAAAATACAAAAACTGCATTCTAAGAGTATACTAATATGAAAACCTAAGAATTTGGTTTTTAGTCATCTGAACGCGAGCGGTGCCGCGGGCAATGCTAGTAGTCTCTATGATTACTGAAATATATGTTATAAATAAACTTAGACGTAAGTACTTGGTTTTTGCGTTGTGTATTTCATTAGATTCATTGACCTATATCATTGCTTTGACCAAGATAAAGAACATTCCTTCTCACTATTTAAATAACAATAATATTGTATCGCGTTGAAGACCCTACGAGTTTTAATTGTAGATTCAAATAAAATAAAATACAGATAAACGTCGAAATATAAAACTATAATACTCTATTAATTCAAAAAATGGTGATCGAATGAAATCTATACATATAATAAAATTAAAAAAACTATAGATTTTCTGTATCGATAGTAATGACTATTTCAATAAGATTTTCCAAAAAATATTTAATGTACAGATTCGACTCAGAATTTTATTAAGTATATCACGAGAAAACCACTAGACAGATTTTGATGAAAGTTGGTATGAATTATCTTTATTTATAATATTAGTATACTGGACAACATGTTTGGCTCAGTTTTTAGGGACACTACTTGCTGTGCCAGCGGTCTCGGGTTCCAGTCACGCTGGTGGCATTCATTTATGTCATGAGCACGAATGTTTGTACTCCAGTTATGGGTGTTTATATTTATAATATGTATGTATTTAAAGTTATATATGTATCCATATATATATATATCCATAACACAAGCCTCGTAGCTTACCATGGAACTAGATGGTGCTGTGTACTTAGTAATGTCCCAACATGTTATTTATAGTTTATAATAGTTTTTGTCAAAATGTTTGGCATTGATTTTTCAAAATATTCTTCGTAAGTTTCAGCTAATATTATTTAGTTAGTTATAGTTGGTCCAGCCCTGGCCCAGATCATAAAATTGATAATACACTACAAAACAAAAAGTTGTTGAGTCTACATAATACTATCATAATAAAATATGACCTAATCAATATGACTTAAAGAATTTGATTGAACTGAAGAAGATTGAGTAACAAAAAACCATCCATCCAAACTTTTGCATTTATAATATTAATGGGATAAGATGTCAAATTATAAGATGTCAAATAAGAAAGTATTAAGGAATCTTTAATTTTCTTGTATTAATATATGGGTTCTTAGATATGTAGTTCGAAAAAAAGTCATGGTATTTTGCTAATAAACAATATTTTTTAACAAAATAGCCGGAAGCTATGTCACTCGAGTGCAGGCACAGATGTAGGGGGAGTCAAATTGTGTAAATGCTTGTCACCTTGATATAGACACCTATAAATGTATCCGGTGTAATATATTTATGACAAGGTTTTGCCTGCAGCTTCGCTCGTGGTATATCGTTCAAAATTATCTTACTTGTTCATCCAGGATAAGCTATTTTCATTCAGAATTTCAGCTAAATTTGTTAAGCTGTTGCAGCATTAACAATAATCTATATAGTACACTAATCGCAGGAACTGTTAATTCGATTTGAAAAATTCTTTTTGCATTAGATAACCCGTTTAGTAAGGGTCCTCCTCTATACTACTATATACACATATACTTTTGTTTTGCAGACGAAATCACACGAACAGTTAAAAAACCCGAAATATATATATTTTTTTTAATGTGTGGAAAACCTGCTATACTTGTATTTCATTGTATTTCAAGCGAGCACAAATTGCCTACAACTGCTCTCTCTATTAAAATCATTATTTACGCGAGTAGAAAAGAAGTTTTGTGTCAACATCACATTGTGACAATTTCATCTTCGCAGCATACAAAATCAATACTATAAATTTACTTTATTAAATTATTTCTTAAGCACTTTTCATTCATACATTTTAAAGAGGATGCTGCCATCTATTCAAAATACAAATCTGCTGAGAAGAGTCCAAATGAAACTCAACAGTTGCTCTTTTAAATTTTGAGTTAATATTTTTGTATAGAAAATAATAGAGGATAGATATTATATTAGATACTATAACTTAATTTCACACTTTTCAACTAAATACTCTATAACTAAGCAGAACAGTTTCTTTACTTTACTTTGTAAGTAATTATGTTTAACTTTAGCTTTAAAATGTTGAAAAGGTCTAAGTGATTTCTCTATATGCATATAAAATTAAAATTATAGGTAGCTTAGTGCGATAAATATTAACAAAATGTAGGAATCGAACCCCGATACCTTTGGCTTTGATAGTAACAACCAGATGAGGAATTAATATTATGATTATATGAAATCTATCAAAACTCAAAACAAAGCAAAGATTTATATAAAGCAAATTACTACTATATATGTGACTTTTCAAACAAAAATTTAGACTTCAACCTAACATCGCTATTTTACTAAATATGTAGATAGCTAATTTCAAAATAACATTTTTAATTTTTTTAAAAATATGTAGTACACAAAAAAATTGTTTTATTTTTAAATTAGTAAATATATTTACCTGCATTAAAACACTACAAAATATTGCGAACTAACAAAGCTGTTTGTTCAATGAAAGTTGAATGGATACTGATGTTGTACACTAGGTGCCGTAGTGAAGTGACTAATATCGATTATATTGATACTGTTATCGATTATTGTCCTCTGCAAAAGAGATAGACACACAAAGTTTTTTTCTATAAATAATATTCCAAGCAATGAATTAATATAAATATACCGGCATTTCGTTTTAATAGTTTAACCGAGAATAAACAGAACCACCTGATAACGCTCTTTGTGTAGTTTTATTTACATGGATAGTAACTATGTTTTTTTTATTATAGAAAAATATCTGAAATGATATTATAATATCAAATGTACGTAAAGTTTAATATTATTGCTCTTCGACCTAACATGTAATTCATTTCAGCGCTGTCGGAAATATTAAGGTTTCTAATTACGTTTTCTAGTTTACTATTTATATTGTAACAAAAGGACTTCTATTTTTGATCCTATGAATAAGAATTTTTCATATCATCGATACTTAATTACATATATAAACAATGCACACTATTTGTTATTCGTAATTACAGTTTATGAAAGGTATTTCAGTGTCAACAATCTTTACTTCGATAACTTATCATAAGTCGAATCAACATAAACAATATTATTTTATAAAAAGACATTATTATCATTTGACAAAGAAATATAAAAAAGAAAAACAGATTTTATTTGTGAGTGAAAATTATTAAATTATATTTTATTAATTTTATGAAATACTAGTGACTCACTCTCACTTCGCTCTTAGGTTTTAATGTTTTGTATAGATTTCTCAGAGATAGCACATTTTCCCGCAGTAAAAAGTATTCTACATATTGACCCGGATAACCACCTATCATCGTATCAATCTTCATCAAAATCTCTCCAGTGGCTTTCTCGTGATGCGTTCTCAGACACACAGAGGCAAAAATTCTAAAGCCTATATAGATTCGGCCTCTGTATCGATAATAATAACTATTTCAATAAGATTTGCCAAAAAACATTTAATTCAAGTCAGTTAGAATTTTATTATAGGTATGTATAGATTTGTTTCATAACATTTCAGTTATTTTAATGAAGCGCGGTAAAATTAATGAAACTTCCAGCTGAGACATTGGTTTTCAGATTTATAGCTTAAATACTGACGATTAACTTAAATTTCAATCAGAAATTTGCATCTTCAATTTAATCTCTTTAGGTAAATAATTTTCGAAGAATTTCGAAATTATAGGTTGATAGGGTCGCCGACCCCAAGTGATTGGGGAATGGGCAGGGAGAAAAAGATATATATATATTAATAGAGCTTATGCAAAACTTTATGGTTCTTAGCTTATCGGTTCTGTCAGTTAGAAATTAATTATAATTAAACGTTAATTTAAATTTATTTAATAAATATATTTTATTAATATTTACTATGGCAGTAACCATTCTCTATCAAAAAGAACCCATATAATACTTTTTATTAAGAAACGGTGACCATTTTAATTACCTTTTTAAATTAATTTTATTCTAAAAAATATATAAATAGCAATGAGGTCTTACATTTTTTTCCTGTTATTCATGACATTTTACTAAGTTTTTTTTTACTATGTATCATAATATTATTTAAGTTTGTTTAAACATTTATACACTAGTGGTAGCCGAAACGAACAGACAAATTGACGCAATTTTAAAAATTAGCATCAACTTACTTTATTAACATAATTTCCTGTTTAATTCTTTATTATAAGAAATAGATAAATTTTTATTACAATCTTTATTAAAATATTTATATCGATAAATTCATAACCACATCACTATTAGGGTTTATCGGCCCCGCTCTTTCGTAACAGTTATCGGCGCCAGAGCATCATGGATTGAACGTTTCAAAATATACTTTATTTTGTAAGTAGTATGGCTTAATTCACTTTGGCAGTTTTTCTTGGTTTTAAAATGATTGTACTAAAATAATTTGAATCTTATAATATCTTTATTATAAAGTTTATTGTTAAATAACATACGAGTATATGTACAATTTTAAATCATGACAGTTTGAGAGGATAATAAATGTTCCAAGCAAATTAGAACCTTAAGACTATATACATAAATTTTGTAAGTTGCTTTGTTTACTAAAAGCTTGAACCAAAAAAAGATTATATTAATGTCATCAATATGAGATAGATAATATAAATTATGATTATACATTTATTTATTTATTGTTGCATTATTTTAACAAGTTTTCAGTCTTATCTTCATAAAAATTAGCATTTCCTAACCATTATCACTTTCTAGATTTACGCGAATATTTGACATTTTAAACGTAAATATGTTTTTTAGAGAATTTGATAATCAATAAAAAATTTACATATGAAAAAAATTACATAGGAAAATCATCAAATATGAACTCATTTGGTTTATTTTGACGACAGTAAAATGAGCCTGACAATAAAGCTAGAAGTTATGCTAAATAATATGTAACCTAATTCATATTTATCTTAAATACCTGTCGCGTCATTCGACATACATACATACTCGTATATACTATCTTGACTGGAACTATCTCTGTCAAAATTAACAGGTTCGATTCCCGCGTTACGGGGATCCATTACGGGGATCGGAATGACACATCACATAATGCTTCTGTCTATTTCATAAGCAATGCGGCATAAAGTTACAAATATAATAATAAAATACGTTTAAGATCTTTGAAGCCTCTTCTTTGGTACCAATAATGTTTGTATAATATCTACGGTCAGTCCTTTCGTTTCTGGAAGGTATAATATAGAAAAAACTGTAGAAAATACGCTTATAAAAGCGAATACGTAGAATATGGGACCCAAACCAACAGCTGAAACTAATGGGTTGAAAATGAAAAGAATCAAGAAGTTGCAGATCCAACCAAATTCCACTGCTATCATGGACATTACGCTTTTTACCTGAAAACGTACAATCATTAGTTATTACCTATTTTATACTTGACTTCTATACTTATAACCGTTAAACTAATTAAAACGGGCTTAAAGTTGTATAAAAGGGCCACTTCAACCAATATTCATTGAATTCAGCCCTTTTTAACGTCCCATTGAGCACGGGCCTCCTTTCAATACGAGGGGGATCAGGCCATAGTCCACCACTCTGGCTAAGTGCGGGTTGGCGGACTACACGTCTTTCGAAACCTTGTTAGGTCCTCTCAGACATGGAGGTTTCTTTGCGATGTTTTCCTTCACCGTAAGGCAAGTAAGTGATAATCATGTTCGAAATGATTCGATACTTCGCAAATGAAAATGTCAGAGGTGCGAGACCCGGGATTTGAACCCGCTTCACTCAGTTTTCCAAGCGAGCGCGTTACCACTGGGCTATCACTGCCTTAAACCAACCAATATTAATAATGTTAAGCAATTTGTCTTTTGCTAAGCAAAATCATACGTTCTTAAGATTTTGCAGCTAAGGATAGGAGAACATAAATTCTCTGGGATGATTCTTGAATAACTAAGCCGAATCTGTACATTAAATATTTTTTTGGAAATCTTATTAAAATAGACATTATTTTCGATACAGAGGCCGAATCAATAGGTTTTAGAATTTTTGTCTGTCTATCTGTCTTTCTTTTTTTACCGCATCACGGAAAAACCACTAGAGGGATTTTAATGAAATTCGGTATGGTGATAGCTGGTTTTCCGGATCAACATATAGGATACTTTTTACTGCGGGAAAATATTTCATTTCTCAGAAAAAATACAAAAACTTTAATGTAAGACTATACTAATATGTAAAACCAAAAAAATTGGTTTTTGATCATTTGAACGCGGGCGGAGCCGCGGGCAATGCTAATAAATAAATAAATAGATGTCTTTTACTTAGAAAAATCTTGATTTGGTCTTCTTCATTCATTTTAAAGATTTTTAGATTTAAAAAGCTATTTAATTCAGAGGTATGTGACAAATACGAACATTGTTATCGCCCATAATTTTTAACTGATTTTAATGATTTATCTCTAATGGATATCTATAATTCTATTGGAATTTAAAGAAAACCAATATCTGATGAATGGTGGATTAATATTATTTAAAGTTATTTAATTTAAATTTGATGTAATTTTAAACTCTATTAATAACTTGTGTCTGACGATTGTAAGATTTCTAAGTATTTAAAAAGACTCACCTCAGGAAGGAAGAGCTCAGCAATCATAACATAGGGAACAGTGCCAGCGCCACAAGTACAAGTTATACAAAATGTATATATCAACACAGCTGTCAACCAGTGAGGACCCCAATGTAGTTGGATCTGTGCACCAAGAGCGATGCAGCACAAACCCGTGCCAATGGAAGAGTAGATCATGACTGGCTGTAAAACATATCGGACTATTATTATAAATGTTAAAATTTGTATATGTGTGTACGTTTGTTATTCCTTTACGCGGATACGGCTGGACTGATCTGGATAAAATTTAGTAAAGAGAAAGATGATCTGGAGCAGCACATAGGCTACTGTAAGGCATTGACGGATGTATGTGAAAAATAATGAAGGTACTCTAGTACTCGCCTCCGTTTTTTTAAATAATCTAAATTTAAAATATAAGAGTGATTTGTATTAGTTTAAGGTATCCAAAGAATCTAGTGGAATGACCAGCCGACTGGATGGGTACCACCCCCTTATCAATTTCTCTCGCCAAGCAACAATGATTGCATTGTTGTGTTCCGGTTTGAACGATAAGGTAGCCAGCGCAATTACAGGCAAGAGGCAGATCATCTAAGTCCCCACAGTGACAACGCACCTACGGTTCTGTATTTTTATAACATAAAACCTAAGTGCATGAACCGTAGGTGTTATGGGCGACATGTACCGATTTCCATCAGGTGGGCTGTCTGCTCGTTTGTCACTGAATATCATAAAAAAAGGCCAGATTAACGACATGTAACTTACTCTACGTCCCCAGAAATCTAATAAGTAGGCAGCAAATATCCCAGCGATAGTGTTCGTGACAGCAAAAAGCACACTGGTCAAGTTTGCTGACACGCTCGGTAAGGCTTCTTCAAATAAAGGCTCAGAATACACTTGAACTATAGTAAGACCCTGACATATAGCTATTACGTATAAACCGAGTATAATTACTAGCCCTCTACGTGTTGATTGAGATTTCTCTGGAAAGATAATAACACAATTATTATAAATACGAAATTTGTATGTGTATTTGTTTGTCACGTCGTAAATGAAATTTATTACACAGGCTTTGACCGAGTAATAAATACATAGGATGTTAGTAATCAAATTTGTCAAAAGGTGGCGCTTGTATATATACCATTAAAAATAGGGCTCCTAATATAAACAAGAATGTTAGATAAAATTCGTAATGTAACAATCCATACTTACATATAATAAAATTGAAAAAAAATAAAATTAAAATTGAGCCGCGGGCAATGCTAGTTTACAATACAATATATATTTTTTTTAACTAAAATAACTGACTGTATATATTTATCGTTACATATTTAATTCAGTATATATTTACAGGATTAAAAATGTAAGATTATATATTATTGATATTAACAATTCTTATTGTTTCTTCAGACTAGCGTGTGCTTTAATTAATTTTATTCATCGCCACCTTTTAAAAAAAAATACATATACGTACACTACTAGAATTGCTGGGCTGACTTCGAAGGAACTTTTACTATATAGATATCATTTATTGATTTAATGATGTGGGAAACATTAGTGAAAAAGAAAGATAAAGACAAAGAGATTTTTGGCATTTAATACGTTGATTCAAAAACTATAACGCACAAAAGCTATAAAGCACAAAAAATATAAAGCACAAAAGTTATAAAGCCCTCGCTTCGTTAGTGTTCGTCCCTAGGTTGCTTCCCTATACAAACTTTATATATTTACCCGGGATAAAAACTATCCTATACCCTTCCCAGGGTCTCAAACTATCTTCTTACCAAATTTTATCTAAATCGGTTAAGTAGTTTCGAAGCTTATTCAATACAACAAACAAACAACAAAAAAATCTTTGCTCTTTATAATATTAGTATAGATAAAATTGTCTACAGTTTGGTCTTAAACAATATTTTATACAATCAACTGTTCTTGGGAGTGCAAAGAGTAGGAAGACATTAGAGCGAACGTATAAAATGCCAAAACTTTCTGATGATAAATCCGATGTTATTTCTCTGGGCTTATACTCACTGATGAATTGAAGGATAGATAGCTTTTCTTTCACTTGAGATTCAGTTTGCAGTTTTTCTTCTTCTGGAACGGATTCTGTAAATTCACATTATATATAAAAAACTGTTATAAATAGGTAAAATTGAATGTATGCTTGTACGTTTTTTTGTAATGTGACTATATAGTGTGCAACATGACTGAGGGATCAAAGGTGACAGAAGGTCCAAGGCAACCAGGGTCGAGGATAAATTTTTTTTGTCTAAAATCCAAATAACTTTCGAATCTATAAAAATCTCAGAATATAAATGGAGGTTTAATCAAGGTTTTTTTTATATTATATTATTTAGATAGCTGATTATTCGAATACTTTTTACCGCGGGCAAATATCTCTTCTCTGAGAAATCAATAGTAAGCGTTAAAACGCACGTCGCTAGTACTCTATAAATCTGGAGTGATAAACTACATAAGCTGTTCGTATATACAATAATAGTTTAATCCTGTTTGTACATCACGTCATATCTTTAGATCTTCAATGAAGCGTCATTTAACTTGAACAAAATAAGATAACAAGCAGATAAAGTAGTTAAATTCTTTTATTATTTAAGAATTTTCATAAGCCCATCCATAAAACGATATCAAAATAAACTACTTTTGTATAAACATGCGGAAAATTAAGGCAACAAATAAGATAAAGCTTATATTATGACTACTTCTGCTTGCTGCTTCATTCGCGTTGGCTTTAAAATTACTTGCTTCGCCGATTCTCTCTAAGAAAGGGTTTTAAAAAGTATGAAATTAAAAACATGTTGATATTAAATTAAACCATCTTTTCTGTTTTTTTTCCAAAATTCGGGAACCAAAAATTAAAAATATCCGCGGAAAAATCCACATAAAAATAATTTTATTCAAAATGTCGAATATAATATATGAGAAATCCCTCCGTGTTAAAGTATAAAGACTAACCATGAACCGGATTTAGAGCACGCCGTAGCACATTCATTTCTTCCGCCACTTCCTTTGAAGATGGACTTTGAGATCTGTAGAATGCTATTGATTTGGCTGCTTCCTGTAAATAAAAACAAAGACCTTTATTTCACTAGCGCTTTAAAAAAAATAGAGCAATGCAAAAATATTTACACAACTAGTTTTTCAGTCATTTGTGAGTGATACAATTTTGTTTCGTTACATCCAAAGTATTCTCAAAACAACAATTACAAATAAATAAAATAAAAGTGTCTGTTTGTAATGTCCAAGTAACAGCTTTTATTAAATGTATATGAAAGTATTATATACGGTACTTACAAGAAAAAAAAACATTTTTTAAACCTTTGTCCATCCGTTTATTTCGGATTATCTCCGAAACGGCTGAACCAATTTTGACGGGACTTTCACTGGCTGATAGCTGATGTTATAAGGAACAACGTAGGCTAGTTTTATTTTATAAAAAGAATTAGGGTTTCGCGGAAAATCATTAAACCTCTTTAAATTTCAAACTCGGCGTAAGTCGCTAATTTTGCATAAACATTATTTTATATAATATCATCACTTACATTATCTAATCCTTTCTTCATCAAATAAGTTGGAGTTTCTTTAACAAAGTTCAACAAGAGGACACCGATTACAACCAGAGCTAAACAAGCATAATTCATATTATGGTACGTCAAATTCCCTCCCAAAATGTATGACACCATCAACCCAACACCATAGGATATAATTGCACCAGAAGTCAATGTTCCTCTTATTGTCTCTTGACAGATTTCGCTGATATAATTAGGTATAACCAAGAACATGCAGCCACCAAAACCCCCAATAAATACAGAGAATAGAATTACTTCAACACGTGAAAAAACTGAAATCAAAGCCCATGCCACCTGAAATAAACAATATGTATATGTAATTAAGATACAAGATGTCTGAGCAATATATTACAATTGGCATCTGTTTCTAGATATTTAATGTACCTACGTTATATATCTAGACACAGAAAATATAGTTTATTTTCCGTCACTCGAAGTCTTAAATCTTTAAGACTTCGTTCGAGTGATGGAAAAAAATCTATTAAGCTATCAACAGAATATTGAATAGTTATTTACGATGGTGGAGGGTTGCCATATTTTAAAACTTTATAGTCTTACCGAAAATAAATTTAAAAAAATGTTCATCGAACCAAAAAATGTTTTACCAAACAAATATGTTTTTTTTAATGTGTAGATAGATACATTTAAAGTGATTATAAAACTTATTTTATGATGATATGTTTGGCTCAGTTTGTAGTGATCTTACTTGCCGTGCCAGCGATCGCGGGTCGAGTCCAGGTGGCGTTCATTTGTGTGATGAGCACAAACGTTTGTACTCCAGTCATGGTGTTTATATTTATAATATGTATGTATTTATTGTTATATATGTGTAGTGTATAAACTTTCTGGTATCCATAACACAAGCCTCGTAGCTTACCATGGAACTAGATGGTACTGTGTATTAATGTCCCAACATATTTATTAAAATAGAATTCGAAGATATCACATAGCGTAAACAAAAGAACATGCCCAGCACCAAAATCATACTTGATAACTTACCACTTGTGGCATAGCACACAGTATAGTAGTGTATTTTCTTCCCAATTTATCCAAGAGGAATGCAGATAAGGGTGTACTAAGCAATGGTGATATAGAAGAAAGACTACCTAAGAGGGCCAACTCTGTGTCCGTCATAGGTCGGTTTAAAGTTGTGCCAGTAGATGCGAAGAGCTTAAGAGTGGAAGACGGCCAAGCGTATATAAGGCTGATGTTCAGACTTTGGAGACATACTAAAACAAAGTTAGTACATTATTTTGGTATATTATTAATAATTATTATTATTTATATATTATTAATATATTACTTAATAATAATAAATATTTGCGTATTGTATTCAGTTATCAAATCGATTTCTATAGAGCAACTAGCAGAATAATATCATCGATATATAATTGTAAAATATACAGCCACTATGTATTTATAAATATTATGTATACAAAAATACTAAAATAGCCATTAAAAATTAGGGAGTGGGGGTAGGAGGGTGAAATATACTTTATGAACTATTCTCATACCAACCAAATATACAAAAAAAAACAATAATATCAGTCGAACCGTTTTAGAAGAGTGCGACCACAAACACCGTGACACGAGATTTTTATATATTACTACATATTTTAACTACGTATACATATACATGGTTTAGTGGCTAGCATGTACAGCTCTGATCCGGATTTTAATTGGCAAATAATTAAAACTGTGTTATATTTATTAAGGTAAAAATAAAATATGCATAGTCATTCTGAAATAGAAAGATTAGGACAAAGAAATCTTGATTTTTCACCCGATATTTTGAGAGTAAAAGTTGTTCAACATTAAGCTTCGCTTCCCCCTAGAGTAGAACACAATTAAAGAAAAATTAAAGAATGCAGCCACTTATAACTCAACAACTACTAACTTTTAAAATAAAAAAAATCTACAGGTGCCTATCACAGCCAGTTCATAGTTTCTCTATGTACTAAGCTTTATCAAAATCCTTTCAGCCATTTCTGCGAAAAGGAGCAATAAATATACAATACACACATATACACACAAACACATTCACACAAACATACACACATATGATAGTAGTATAATTATAAAATTAGGTAACATTCTTACATAATAAGGTGCAGTAAGTTTGTCGGAGTATAGACATTTTCTTCAAAATTTAATGGAATATGCATGTGTTCTAAATGTTATATAACTTTCTCTTCTGATGTTACAGTTCATACTACATCGACTTCTCCATTTTATCACAGCCATCGCAAATACTGAATAAACAAGCATAAAACATAGATTAGACGTAATGAGATGGATTTGATATTTGTATGTGCTCTTCATATACTGGTATCACGTAACTACAAACGTAATAATAAAATATTTAAAAATATTTTAGCTAAAATTAAAAGTAATTTTATTATTTTAGCACTAGCGACTCACCCTAGCTTCGCTCGGGTTCGTCCGTAGGTTGATTCCTCATACAAACTTTCATCCCCATTTTCACTCCGTTAAGGGATGATTCCCGGACTAAAAAATATCCTTTGTCCTTCCCAGAGTCTCAAACTATCTTGTTACTGAATTTCATCTTAATCGGTCTAGTAGTTTTTGAGTTTATTTGTTACAAACATACAAAAAAACAAATCTTTCCTCTTTATAATAGTAGTGAGGATGAGTATTTTTTTTTAATTACAAAACAAATACTATTATTTTTTATCTTCACCCACTTTACGACCTACTTCTTTATGTTACACAATATCTAGATTAGGACGCTTTGAGATCCAATTATGACGCAATTTTCATTATTTTTTACCCGGCTGCGTGCTTGTAAAGACGGGTCGTGTATTTCATGCGTATGTACGTATGTATGGGGGGCTATTAACTGACAAAGGCCCATATTGGCTAGGTGTAGTTTTAACATTGAAATGTTTTTTCGTCGCTTCAGTATAGGCCAGATTTCAGCGAAAGTGCGACATCGCCTTAGTATCGTGGATTTTAGGACTACATAGTTGGTTGGGATGTTAAAAGATGCGTCTGAATGAGGGCTACAAAATGCAAAAAAATATATTTGAAAACACTCAAAGGCTTTTTTTTTAAATCGAATAAATATGAAAAATGCAGTCGCTTTTCGCTCGGTTTCGACTCGGTCGGACTTCGGTCGGATTCGGTTTTTAGCATATTTTTCTATGTTGAGACAATCGACCTCTACAGCTTTATTATATGTATAGATAGTTTCTTTATGCATCCAAATACTTTTTTGTGGTCTGAACGCGGCGGGCAAAATCGGTTGTTCTGCTAGTAATTAATATGTTAAAAATTTAATTCAGTTTATTTAGCAGATTCATTTTCAATGTTCTCTAAGGTCGTAGCAGACACGAGATCTGTGGATTTTTTTAAAACAGACACCGTAACAGACACTCGTATATTAGCAGCCGTTGTGATCATCTCCTAAACGGCAGGGACGATTTTAATGATATTTTTTGTGTATGTTCGAGTAAGATTCCACAGATGCAGATTTCCTGCAAGGTTTGAATTCACAAGTGGATCCGGTAGGTGGCCCTGCAGTTGGTCACTAAATTTACATAAAGGCTCCTTTTTCCGAGTTATAAATAAATTTAAATTGTTGATTAAATAAATTAAAAATTGACGTGTCAAATCAAATCAAATCAAAATATTTTATTCAGCATTAAATTATTACAATTTTTTACTGGACGTCATGAGTCTACTACCAGTTCGCAAAGAAGAAGCCTCAGACCTGAGAAGAACTGGCGAAAGAAACTCAGCGGGACTAATATTGACTTGTTATCTTTTTTCTTAAAGCTGTGTAAGTATGAGTCCAAAATAACTGGAGCTATTTTGATGAAATTTTCGGTTAATCTTCAGATTAGCCCAGCGGGTGATCCTGTAAATTTTGTAAGTGATTTGTTAACGTCCCACTGGGGCGGGTCTGGGCCTAGGCTTTTGCGGTTTCCGTACGACATGTCCTTGCATGGTAGTTTAGGTGCAGGCCTACCCTACCACCTCCTTCAGAGATGGTAGGGGGGCGCTGGTCTTGGGAGTAGCGCAGGTCGCAAAGATCCCCAAGGCAAGTTCGGTGGACTAGCCTTCTCGAGGTTGCCAGCCCTGTTATAGGTTTATTTCCATCCGAAATAGACATAACTGAAACCACCGGACGGTTCAACCCAGGGGAATATATAGTGTATGTAATATATGTAAAACTATTAATGTGTAGTCTACTCTTATTGTTTTCCCCACAATTAATATCACCGTATTGTATTAAAACATCACGGCTAGTAGGCGGGCCGTGACTATTATAATATCTTTAATATAAATATATGTATGTTTATTATATTCATTATACATATCTATGTGTATAATTTTACACACTTTTTATAAAGGGGATATTCAAATTTAAAAGGGGTAAGTATAAAATAAAATACAATAACCATATTAGACATTTTGTTTATTTAATTATTATAACATTTAATTCTAACTTTAATTAGAAACCCAACGCATCTTCTAAGCATTAGGCGGAGATCTTAAAGCAAAATAAACATATGCACAACTACGCCATCTTATTAGTTATATAGAAGCAATTAGAGAAAACATACATCTAAATTGGTAACATTTAATTTTGCAAATGGCACTGTTTAGTAACAATACGCTTTAATAAAATCTTTTAGCGTTAAATATGATATATTTTAATAAAAAAATATTTGTTATAACAAACAATAAGAACAGTCTTTCTGTACAAAGAATATCTTTTTGAGAGTTTTTAAGAGAGAATTTGAAAAACAGACAAAATGAGTTATTATGTAGACGTTAAAATATTTTTTTTTAATTAAATGATTGCGAGCTTCATCTTTCATTACAGAGTTATCAGAGAAAGATGTCAGTTATTTCTACGAAGTTTTAAATTACGTAAAAATATATTCTATGTACAAAATCAACTGGTTTATATGAAACGTACAGATAATAATTTATACTGTATTATTAAAATTTCAATAACATAATTCAATTCCTTTTTAACCAAAATGTTACATCGACCACTAAACCGTGTTAAAAGTGGATTATTGTAATCACCCTTAGAGGCAGTTTTTTTCTATTCAAGAAAAAAATTAAAATCGGTTTACCGCATTGCGTCAAATACACAAAAACACAAACACCCGAATTAAGAACCTCTTTTTATAAATGGATTAATTAATATTGACAGTAGAAATACATATATGGAACATCACTAGCAGCTCATTTACATAAAAAAGCCATAGACTTAACAAAAACACGTCGCTTTTATTAAAGAAATTATATATTAGAATATAGAATAATGTTTATTAACAAAAATATTAGTTAGTTATAATTTATCGTCAATCGTTTTTATCGAACGCGACTATTCTCTTGTTTCTTCTTATTCGACAGTTTAAACCAGCCAGCCTTTTTATCTTTCGGTATCGATACCGACCGAGATACTTTATCTCTTTCTTCTCTATTTAAAATCTGACTCGATTGACTCTTCTTCCCACTCGCACTTTTCCGAGACATTGTGCTTTGGGACACATCATTATCTTTCCCTCTTTCTCTTCTGTGTAGTGCTGTGCTGCTACTGGTTAATCGATTTTGACTATTCGGTCTGCGATTCAAGGTGGTTTGACTGTAGGATTTGTTTTTTTGTAAGATAGGTTCGTTTCTTGGTGTCGATGTTGATTTTTTGAATCTTTCCGCTTCTTTTTGTTTGGGTTTTCTAGGTTTTTGTTCGTAATGTACATCGTATTGATCGTTGTAGTGGCGTGGGGTCCAGGGAGCGAAAAGAGAGAAACTCTTTGTGCTAGATTTGACCTGAACGTTAGAGGACATTACAGACGAGACGTCATCTCTAGAACGGTTCCTCGTGATGCGACCGGGATCTGGGATGTCCCCGACTGTAAAATGAAAAAATATATATTACAGTATTTCATCTAAAGAGGCTTAAAGCAGGACTTTATAGAACTTTTAGTACAGTTTTTCAAAGATTTCTTCTTCAATCACTGAAATTCAATCGACATTGAATCTTAAAAATAGGGACAAGCCATTTTTTATTTTATTCATAACATCAATTGATTGTAAATGGTACTTTTATCAAATAGACAAACATTTCCATTAACGATACAATTCATCATAATCGAAAATAATACTAAATATATAAGTTACTATATTCTCTTATCAACTCTACAAGAAAGAAAGCGTGAAATAATTGTGTATAAATAAGTAAGCCATACATACCAGTAGTAGCGTGTAAGTACACGACACTGCGCTGTGACTGTTGGCTGGAGTCGCCTTCAGTGCTGCTTTCACCAGAATTCGTCACTGGAGTGCGACGACGAGATCTGAAGAAGGATAAACTTATAAGTGGCTTATATAAAATAACAATTTAGCTATGTTTAGTTCATTTCTTGATTACTAAAGGAGAACATTTATTTTAATGTACAGGTATTAAAAGTGTTCAATGAAATTCTGGCTTGTAAAAGTTTGGCTGTGTTTTTGCACAGATACTTCTTCTACTACTACTACTACTTGAAAGAAAGGCAAGGAATGAAATTCATTCAACTAAAATATTATGATCTTAAATTCGAAACAGAGTTATGCTTTAACCGATAACAACGAAGGTTTATCAGACATCTTTATGCAAACAATTTAATAAGCCACAGTAAGTTCCATGTCATTAAAGAAACTAATATTTGGAATTTCACTTTTGTTAGTTTGAGGTCCCATAGGAAATTTCAAAACTTATGTAAGTATATGAGTTTGAAAGTCAAACAAGCCAAAAGCATTATCAAAAGTAAAAACATCTTTTTTTCAATCTTATAATGATTCAATTAATCAATTTATTTTCAATTAAATTCAATTAAATTCAATCAATAATTGATAACGTTTTCTATCAATTCGAGATTGATAACATAATATTGTTTTTTAATGACTAAAGAACGATGCAAGAAAAACACGTAAACAGACGAACACGTCTTACCAGGATTTTGTATTGGTTAAGGCGCTCCAAGTCGACTTTTTGATATAGCCATATTTGGCAGTCTCTACTACTCTTCAATAAGATACACGTTATCAAAACTAAAAGGAGTCAAAATCCTCAGTAGTAATGACAGGATAAATCCTTCTAAACAAGAAGCAGAAATCAATCAAGCTAAGAATTATATAAAGAATTAAATTTTAGTTAGTTTTGTCTGCTAACCGACAAAAAAAGGATATGCAAAAATAATATATACTCACTTTATGTCTCGTAACTCTTGCTTGCTTCTTAACTCAGAGGAACTGCCTCTATCATCTCCTCTACCATTCCGCCGCATGTCACTCTTAGTTCCCTTCAAAGTCTTAGAACTGCTGTGACTTCTCGATCTGTCGTACGGACTAATTGGTGGCTTCAATGTCATTTTCTTCCCAAAATGACTCTCATTCTCTGAATTACTGTTTATTTCCGAAATATTCTTTAAATTTCTCTTATAATACTCTTTCGTTTTCGGCGATTCACTTTTGTCTTTTCTGTGAAGGTTCGATAGGGAATAGCTCTTATTCGATAGTTCGCTGTGATCTACTTCGTCTAAGCCCGCGCTAGAGTTGGAAATGGTTTTTCGTAACGTTCCATGATTTTTTGATTTTGTTTTAAGTGTGTGCCTGTTTCCATCCGACTCGTGATCTGTGTCACCGAAAAATCTAAGATTTTTGGCTGGAGAGTTTAATGGTTTTGTTGATTTTGACCATACTCGACGACTTTGTTCATCTTCTGTTGTTATTACGCTGTCTTTCTCAACCTGGAAATCAATAATAGTATGTTATTATTAGTTTTAGAGAATTTAGATTTTTATAGAATGAAATAAAAGTACTTAGAAAGAAAATCCCAAAGAAAATTTGGTAAAGTTGAATCGGTCTTGATATTTTTCATTCCTTTCTATCTTCAAGAAAGACAAATCTCAACGATTATCTATTAATAAATAATCTGACAAAATGATTTGATAAATCATATATTCCTACACATCTTGCAGAAATAAGATTTTTTAAGTGTGAAGAAGGTAACACCTGCCTATAAAGATAAGTATCACAAATGGGCGTACTGGCTCATGACGCCATACAAATTTGCAAAATCTCCTTTGTGTGACAAAAAATATAACGAATTTCAGTCACAAGTAGTAGAGAGAAAGCTATATGACTTTTCAAAAGCTATATCTATATTTAAATTGACATAACTTTTTCATTTATGAACCGATTGAAATGAAACAAATACTGTAAATGTTAAGTGAAGCCACCTTAGGTACCACAATAGGTACATTAGTGAAAACCGCATCCAAATCATTTAAGCCGTTTCTGAGATTAGCTCTAACAAACGCACATACAAACAGACAAAAATTCTAAAAACCATTGCTTTGAGTTCTATTGCTAACGCAAAGATAAAGACTCTCAGAGATAGTTTTTCTCAAATATCTTCCATGTACAGACAGCGATCAGTTACAATCTATACATATAATAAAATTGTAACTAAGCCGAATCTGTAAATTAAATACTTTTTGGAAAATCTTAGTGAAGTAAACATTATTATCGATACAGAGGCCGAATCTATAGTTTTTAGAATTTTTGTCTGTCTGTCTGTCTGTTACCGCATCACAGCAAAACCACTGGAGGAATTTCGATTAAATTTGGTATGGTGATAACTGGTTATCCGGGTCAACATATAGAATACTTTTTACAGCGGGAAAATATCTCATTTTTGAGAAAAATACGAAAAAACTGCAATGTAATCGTATACTAATATGTAAAACCTAAGAATTTGGTTTTTGGTTATCTGAACGCGGGCGGAGCCGCGGGCAATGCTAGTTTTATTATATGTATAGACAATATTCCAAAATAATCTTACCTTTAAGTTCTTATCTCGCTTCTTGCTAGATCTATCCATGGATTTGAACCAATTACCAGAAGTATGAGTAGAGGATTCACGTCTCGGAGGTGAGGGAGTCGGGCTGGGTGTGGCCAAGCGCCTCCTCTCGCGATATCTTTGAGCCTGTAAATGTAATTTTAATTATTTAACTGTATTTCCTCGTTTATTTTTTTTTAGAATATATTCTTTATAGAATTTACACCAGGTATCTGTGAGACTTGAGACTGACTTGAGACTGACTTTGATATTTTTACGTAAAATAAAAGTTCATATTTGGAAAGTTTAATGCATTTTTTAATATATTTTTTAAATGTTGCCGATTCTTATAACAAGGAGCTCTTTTAATTTTCCCTAGTTTCCATTTAGAAGCAAAATAAAATTATTTACGCTATAAATATATGACTTTTACAAGAATGCAATATGTACGAGTATGACAAATCGAAATCAAAGCAGACCAAAAAAGCGGTCACTGTCAAGAACAATAAAATTTTACTCAAACAAAGCGCGACGTATTCATTTCATTTATTATGGGTTCATCGACATTTAAGACCTTCATCAATCATATTGTATTGATACTAGACTGTAACAAGATCACAATATATGTATCTACGATTTGACGACACGTTTGGATCAGTTCGTAGTAACCCTACTTGCTGTGCCAGCGGTCGCGGGTTCGAGTCCCGCTAGGGGCATACATTTGTGTGATGAACACGAATGTTTGTACTCCTGTCATGGGTGTTTATATTTATAATATGTATGTATTTAAAGTTATATATGTGTAGTGTATCAAATCTCTGGTATCCATAACACGTAGTCTCGTAGCTTACCATGAAAATAGATGGAAATGTGCGTTAATATCCCAACGTATTCATTTATAATTATAAAAAAAATGAAATAGTCCATCTGTCGTATAAAAATTGACATCCCATATTAAGTGGTTACTTACAAGAAACAAAAGCCTTGAATATTTAGTAATTCCTTCTTTAGTAAAACAGCATACTGGCTCTATATACATAGGTTAGGTATAAGTAAATTGGATTTTTTTGTGTGTACACGTGACAGATTCTGTGACTTTTTTTTTAATGTTGGGAAATGCATTTACGCATACCACCTGCATACATACAGGTGGTTATGTGGTACTCGCCGGTTAGAAAAGCCAGTACTACCCATTAAAATCCAACAGAACCTCCCCCGTCTTAATGTGGCGTCGCAGGATCGCTTACGCACTTAATCACGACACCCCGATGGCAGGTCCGCCAAAGCACATCATACAACCAAGTGGTTGCTCCCACGGTCAACCCTGCTTTCAGAGAAGTACCAGGAGCAACCCGTATGGTATACCGCCCACCGAAGTGGGCTACCTCGCTGTGTGTCTCTTGGCTTCGCGCCCGGCTGAGTTGCCAGACGCTACTGACGTTTACTTGTTTGTTTGTTATTTCTTTATGAAGCTACCTTCTTCATAACCGATCGACGTGATTTGTTTTATATACATTATTAGAAGGGTTACATAAAGCTCTTTATTTATGGATAATAAAATATTACGGTAATACCAAAATATGCGCTAAGTATGTATCTAGTTACTAACAATTATTGCTTTTTAAGCAATATTTGCCTTTTTAGTCGCAAAGTGAAGTTATTTCCCGAAATACCTCATTAAAAATCGCTATACACAAAGTTTTTGAGTTCTAAAAATGTCTGTAAGATAAATAGAGTTATCTCTCATCTCAAGGACTCCGAGCAACGACCTCTTATTTGTTTTGACTTGTTACCAGGAACTGAATGTACGCAAAGTTAAACTTTACTTTTAGTCATCATATAGTGCTTTTTTAAACGTTATATACTAGCAACTTACACTCACTTTGCTCGTGTGCTCTAGGTGTTTAATAGTATAATCTATTTGCCTACTATATTTCATCCAAATCGGTCCAGCGATTACAGCGTGAAGGAGTAACTTACATACAAACAGATATTCTATTTTTTGCTAACTCTTGCATACATTATATAGTAGTCGCTAGTTCGATACATCGTAAAGTTAGTGTTATTATAGCATATAGTTCTAAAGTTAAATTACGAAAAATAACATTATAAAACCTAGAGCTTCAAATTTCTAAGTGTATCGTGATACAATGGACCTAAATGATAGTATTTGCGATATCAAGCATTCATGGATAGACCGATATGTCTGATGATGGGTTATATTAAATATACTACAAAAATAACAAATTTCATATAGTGAAGAGTGAACGTAAGTTTGACGGCAGCAGAGCATAGAAGCTCAAAAATCATAGATAAATCGTGTGTTTGTGGCATTGTAGCTCTCAAACGGATGAACCGATGTCGATGCGGTTTTTTTCATTTGAAAGCCAGTTTCCTTGCAGTGGTTGGCTAGCCATGTTTGGTTAACATCGGTCCAGCAGTGTAAGAGTATCAGCTCTTTTCCAAATGATGTAAGGCATTTTGGCGTATTATTACTCGATTAAGTGCTTCACGCGTGCCAGTGTAATCTTTAAATGACAATTATTGTGCGTAGTTATTTTTTAAATTTTTAATTTATAATTAGCACTATAATTAACAAGACCTATAATTTTCAGGTGACCTGTGACCATCGCGTAATAGTGGCAAAAATCTCTAATAATAGACATAGTAAAATATATCCTTCTCATTCTCATCCAGACCATTTTTTAACGTTCCACTGGCACGGCATCCTTCAAGACGAAGAAATCATGGTCACGACCATAAGACCAGCATTCAAAATAAGTCCGCGAAAAAATCCAAAAAGACAGTTTTAATATAATATGTCAAATATTCGCGTAAATCTAAGAAAACTTTATGTTTCTACACAAATTAAAAAAAAACATATAAGGGTGAGTACATACTTTTAAGTAGTTTTGAATTATTTATACTTTTCTGTTAAAACCGGAATTGTCCGCTTTGCTTGTTCAATATGAACAAGGTCGTCGCGCCATATGGCATACGACCTTATCATGTCACTGGTTGACTTGAAGCAACATACGGACTAATACGGATGAAAAAGATTAATCTATCTAATATATAAAAATCTCGTGTCAAGTATTTGTAACAAAACTCATCCGAAACGGCTTGACCGATTCTCATGAAATTTTGTGTGCATATTTAGTAGGTCTGAGAATAGGGCGTAACTATTTCTCATACTCCCAAGTGATAAGGGTGGTCCACCCCAAAAAATTTTTTTAGATATTACTATCGATACAGAGGTCGAATCTGTAGTTTTTAGAATTTTTGTTTATCTGTCTGTTACCGCATCACGGAAGAACTACTTGAGGGATTTTGATGAAATTTGGTATGATGATAGCTGGTTATTCGGGTCAACATATAGGACTTTTTACTGCGGGAAAATATCTCATTTCTGAGAAATCTACACTAAACGTTAAAACGTAACTAGAGACGAACCCGAGCGGAGCGAGGGTGACTCGCTACTTACATTATATAAATATGAACATATCAAGTGATTACCATGCCGTATAAGTATGTAGGTGCGCTTATTCATGCACGACTTTATACGGTATAGTGATCTTTCAACGAATGCGCGAGTATAAGAAAACGAGTGACAAATGTCTACACTGTGGGCTGTACAAAATATTTGTAAATTTGCTGTTAGAAATATTTTGTTATACACTAGCTTTCGTCCACGACGGTACTTGCGTGTTACAAGAAAGGCTCCTGTTTTTTCTACCTCGAATTAAAATATAGCCTCTAGATTCATATCTACAAGTAAAATCTCTTCAAATAGACTCAGTTATATAAATTTTTTTGCATGGAATCCTGATTCTTTTTCTATAATAAAAGTAGCCTAAATTACACCCTATAGTATAAGCTACCTGGCAGTGAAAGTCCTATCAAAACCGGTCCAGCCGTTTGGGAGATTAACCGGAACAAACAGACAGTCAAACCGACAGACAGACAAATATTTTAAAAATTGTTTCCTTCTTATAAGTACCGTATATACTTTTTTCATATTCATTTAGTAAAAAGCTGTTATTTTGACATTACAAACAGACCCATCAATTTTATTTATCTGTATAGATGTATAGATAATAAATATGATATCATTAGTAAATTTCGTTATATTATATAAGCATACATAAAAATAGCACAGCTTTAATTTAATTAAACGTCAATACTGTTTAAGCAATCATTGTCCTATAAAAAACACTTAGAATTAGTCATCATTCGCTTATTCTATTCTCGATATTTTCGTATCATATTATGATACGTGTGGCTCTATATGTATAGACATTTTATAAATGTAAAAATGTTTGTTTTTACTTCATGTCTAAATAGTCTGAATATATGCTAATTAATCTATATAAATAAAAATGAATGTTGATAAGCGCATAACTCAAAAATGGCTGGACAAATTCGGCAATTATTTTTTTCATATGTTCCTTAAGGTCCACGGAAGGTTTTAATAAAGAGAAAAAATGAAAAATTAACGAAAAAAATTAAATTTATATGGCTAACGCTGGCTAGTAACTATTTACATACAATATATCTATATCTATTTAAAGCGTACCTAGCGATGAACCCTAGCGAAGCGAGGGTGAGCCGCTAATAATATAATAATATATACAAAATATGTAAAATTTCGGTGTACGTGTGTTCGTAATTCTTCCCCATTCGTAACTTGAAGATTGACCGATTATGATGTTCTTTTTTAATGTACGGGTATGTTTGTTGGATGGTTTTTAGCTAAAGCTATAATTTAACCCAGTAGATGGCGCTGTTGTTCAGATCCAGATTTTTTTATATTTTTTTAGATTTATCTTATAAAAGCAGAGGTATAATCTCACAATTTTAAGCCTCCTAACACTATGGCAGGACTACGTCTTCTTATCTCAGTAAATTAGTATCTCCGACTGCATAATACCTTCGTTAACTTGTTTTCATGTTTTTAGTCAAGTCAAGCATTTTTATTTTTATAATAATAATTTTAGTAGCGGCTCATCGTCGCTTCGATTCGGGTTCGTCCCTAGACAAAAACAAATCTATCCCACGGGAACCGTACATTTTTCCAGGATAAAAAGTAACCTATGTGCTGTTCCAGATGATAATCTATATCTGTGCGAAACTTTCTCGAGATCCGT